CCCTTAACTATAAACTATCCAAAAAATTAAAAAATTCTCTCACTCTCTCACAGACGCCGACAAACAGTAAAAAAATTATCGGTGATTGAATGTCGGAAATCGAGAAAAGGAGATGCACTTACAAATTAAAACACAGTTTTTAAAAAAATATAAAAAAAATCATAAAAATTATTGACAAAATTCTAAAAAATATGACAGAGTCGGCAAAATAAAACAAAAAATTTTGTCTTAAAATAAATTTAAAAATTAAGAGGAGGTAAGTGCATATGGCCATAAAGTCCTTTATTAAAGTCTATCAGTCGGCTAATTTCCCTTGTAAAATTAATTATTTTTAAAAAATTAAATTTTTAAAATGTATAAATTTTTATTTTGTATTTTACTTGCTTCAATTTTTATTGAAATTAATCAAATAAACGGGGAAAAGGAGTGTAACTGTTCTGCTACTGATAAATGGGAGGTATTGGTAAAAGCGAGTCGCTTTAAAAGGGGTGCAAAAATGAGTGTAAATTGTAGCTGTATAGGAAAAGGTGAAGAAAGTAGTGAAGAAGATGAAGGAAATGAAGGAAGAAGTGAGGGAAGAGGGGAAGGAAGAAGTGAGGGAAGAATTGAGGGAAGAGGTGAGGGAAGAAGTGAAGGAAGAAGTGAGGGAAGAAGACAAATACCCATTGGAACGGAAGGAGGTGGAAGAAGAGAGGAACAAATGAAGAGGATGGAAGAAATATTTGAAGAAATAGGAGGAGGAGTACCAAGACGATCAAGAAGCTTAGAAAGAGGAGAAGGAGTAGAACGATTGAGAGAAAGAGGAGGAAGTTTAGGAAGAGATGGAAGAATAATCGGAAAGGCAAGAGGAAGAGAAGTTGAAGATTTTGAAGGATGGGACTATGAAGAGGGTTCTAGTCGGCGTAAAGGGAAACAAAAAGTAGGGGAAAGTTCAACGAAAAATGGAAAAACTAAAAGCGTTTTGTACATTTGCGATAATTATTACTACTCGCACGTACAATTTAATGTAAATAATTTTAATATTTAGAAACTGAATCTCGTTATAAATTTGGCCACTAGCCACTTACTTAGCGTCTTACACAAGAGTTGGCCAATATCTAGATCTCAGGTCGGGATTCTGATTTCCGATTTTCGACGTTTTTTTCCTTCCGATTTCCGAAAAAATTTTAATTTCCAATTTCCGAGTTCCGACTTTTGAGCCAGTTCCGATTTTTTTGAGCCAGTTTCGATTTCCGACACCTCTGACTGTTCCGACCCACCTCTGGTCTGTTCTGATACGCTTATAACGAGAGTCAACTTTAATATATTTTAATATAACTAAAAGGAAAAATTTTTTAGTTATGGCTGGCACAGATATTGTCGGAGAAATACAATGTGGTAGGGATTTTCGTAGGGTTACTATGGCTAGCACAAATATGGATGTTGATAAAGGAGCAAAAAATTATTTTGTTCAGCCATAACCCTCCGGGATTTTTCGCTAAATCAAATAAGATATTTCCTCTCCATTTCCCCTCACGACTTAACTCATTTTAAGTGTTCGGCAAATGGTTATTTTCAGTAACGGTAATACCGAAATATACCGATTGGTATTACCGTACCGTTCTGAACACTGCTCTTTCCCCATTAGTACATATATTTTTTGTCGCAAAACATGGGGGCATAGGACTATGTGGGCATTTGTGGGCATAATATTAGATTGAACTCCTTCCAAGTTGGATTTTCCTCCTTTTTATTTTAGTAAATCCTTTTATTTTATTTAAAAGAATATGCATGTTTATATGAGAGATAACGGAGAAAAAATTGAATCTAAAGATTTCGAATTTAATTTTGAAATTACTTATATCCCAATAAATAAAGGGAAATTGGATAAGGATAGCAGAGATCCTTTTGGTGATTTTAAAGGAACAAAAGATTATTTTGTGGTTGGAATTTATGAAGGTAGGGAAAAATTTGTGAAAATTGTTTTAAAATATTTTTTAAAATATCCTTGTAAACCGTAAAAGTAAGTGGTGTGTATTAGAGCGCTAACTGGGAATCGAGATGGAGATAACCGTGATTTTTGATCAAGATCTCGTCTTGATCCGATCTCTAGTAAGTAAATGCTATGAGAGCTAAATTACCTGAAATTCAGTAAGTGAGAGATAAAGTTTGGCCTCAGGCAGATATCTACCTGGCTGACTGAGCTAACGAGGTGATCTTCTCTTTTAATATATCTTAAATCTCGGCTTAGTAAATCTTTCAAATGGATCTCCTCTCTCCCTCTCTCTCTCTCTCCTCCTCTCTCCCTCTCTCCTCCTCTCTCTCCCCTCTCTCTCTCCTCCTCTCTCTCTCTCTCCCTCTCTCCTCCTCTCTCTCCCTTCTCTCTCTCCTCCCCTCTCTCTCTACCTTCTTTTTCAGAAAAATAATTTCAAGATTTTCCCAGTTCCAGAATCCGGTTACAGGAACTTGAACATTTTCGAAAAATTGGAATTTCCATGGAATCGTTTGATTTTAAGGATATGGAGAGCGCTGATACTCACCTTAAAAAGATTTTTTTCTAATTTTTAAAATTTAGAAATTATCAAAAACCATGAAACTTTTAACGATCTTTATAAACAAGGATATGATATTGGAATAGCAGAGTTTAACGTTATGGCTGGAGCTTTTGCCTTATTTGAAGCATTAGATATTAAAAATACTTTTAATGTTTCTGCTTCGATTTTACTTCCATCTTATCTGCAGTTTTTGGGTGTTAATGTTGTTAGAGATCTTCCTGGTTATATTCCTGGTTATTTTTTAAATTTTAAAATTTAGGGCTGTAACTTGTGATTAAGATCCGAGAAAAGTCAGGATATCAGGGGATTTCGCAGGATCCGCTAATCCTCTATAAAGATGCTAAATCTTGGGTGCCTTCTTCCTGTAACAAAAGTTTTTGTGAGCAGTGTTTGGAAGCTCCTACCAAAATTCGTACTCGTACCTGTGTACGAAGTAATAAAATGAGGGGGGGGATGCTGGTCAGATCCAGCCGACGAATAACCTTTTGCCTAGCTGAAGAAGAAAACTAGCTATAGCCCAGCTGCTTTACCCTTTAACTCTCCTCATTATGAGATAAAAATTTTCACCTAAATGTGACATCTATAGACGAGATTCACTTGTATTTAAATTTAAAAAATTTTTTTAAGAATTCTATTTCCCTGAGCCAAGGGATTGGATAAAAATAGACGGTATGTGGCGAATAAAAAGTCATAGAGTTTTTGAAAATATGACAAAACATAATGATCAAAATAAAATAATAAAAGAATTATTTGAATATTCTACTGGATATTTTGAAAAATTATTTTGGGGGAATACACAAAGAAATTTTAATTTACCTTCAACTTTGGATGTTTTATTTAAAAAAATTAAATATCATTTTATAAATCAACACCCTCTCGGAAATTTTGAAAATTATCCCGACCATGAGAAAGTTGGTTATATTGGTGGTATTGTTGTTGAAGGCAAAGGAATTTTAACAAAACCTAAAATAATAGATAAAGATGAGGTAATAAAGAAAAATTTTTTAAAATTAATTTTTAGAGTTAGAGGGATCAACTAAAATATGGATATATTTATATGAGTTTTCCAATCTTATTCAGAATCCCAATACCTGCCAACTTTTGTTAAAAGTATGGTAGCACTCTTCGACACTCATTCGGGGGCGGGAGTGTCGGGGATTTGAGTTCGCCGGGGTATGTCCTTCGGGGTTCGGGTCGAGGTTTTGCCTCCTCGGGGGTGGTCGCCGGGGATCGGTTTGTCGGAGTAGAGCCTTCGGGGTCTGGGTCAGTGTTTTTGTTAAGATACATGCCAAACCCTTAGGTTATAATGGTACATCCTTTGTATCTTTATATTTTAAGAGCTCATGTGTTGTTCTCGTCACATTTGGAACGGCTATTGTACCTTTTAGAAGAGACCAACTATACAGTGTGTTAAAAAATTATAACCCCCCTTGAATTTTTTGTGTTTCTCTATTTTCCCGTTGGTGGATTGTTCTGAAATTTTTGCAGTAGTGTTGTAATGTATATTAAATGATATTTACAAAATATCTTTAAAAATTTCTTATCTAAAACTTTTTTATGGACGTTTTTGCAAAAAATTAGTGTTAATAAATTATAACCCCCCTTTATTAAAATTTTTGTTTTACGGTCAAAAAATCCACAAAAATTTTTCTGAACATATCTACCAATATAGATGAGAAATACAAAAGAAATGAAGTTCTTATGTACTCCCATCATCAAGATCTCGAAATCCGAAAATCAACGTAAAACGGGGGTAAAGGTCTTTAAAAAATATTTTAGACACCTTACAGGTGAAATAAAAATTTTATTTTGGGCTTATCTGAAAGCCCTTAAAATTTGCTATAAGATAGTTTTTATCTCATTATATAAAAAAAATTCACCGTCGAGAGACAAAGTGATAAACTTTCAAGTCATAAAAATCACTCCAACGCCCCCAAAAAGTGACAAAAATGTAACTTATAAAATAAACTCATTATTTTTCAATGATGAATTTTTTCTTGATTATGAGATGAAAAGTATCTTGTAGCAAATTTTAAGGGCTTTCAGATAAGCCCAAAATAAAATTTTTATTTCACCTGTAAGGTGTCTAAAATATTTTTTAAAGACCTTTACCCCCGTTTTACGTTGATTTTCGGATTTCGAGATCTTGATGATGGGAGTACATAAGAACTTCATTTCTTTTGTATTTCTCATCTATATTGGTAGATATGTTCAGAAAAATTTTTGTGGATTTTTTGACCGTAAAACAAAAATTTTAATAAAGGGGGGTTATAATTTATTAACACTAATTTTTTGCAAAAACGTCCATAAAAAAGTTTTAGATAAGAAATTTTTAAAGATATTTTGTAAATATCATTTAATATACATTACAACACTACTGCAAAAATTTCAGAACAATCCACCAACGGGAAAATAGAGAAACAAAAAATTCAAGGGGGGTTATAATTTCTTAACACACTGTATATTGAGACAATGTTTTATGTGTTTGAACGTTTCTCACAATGTACCTTTAAAGTTCGCATACGAACAACCAAAGTGTCTTATAATAATATTGAAATTTACCCAAAAGAAAAATTTTTACCACAACAAGAAATATTGGCTAAAGCAAACACAAAATTTCTTGTTAGCCATTGTGGACAGAATAGTTTGAATGAGGTATAGTTTGAGACATACCTTTATCAAGAAAATATCAGGATATCCCAATTAGATAACCCAATAACGGATAACCTCAATTTAAGGCATTGGTTGGAAACTAAAAAATTGCTGAAAATAAATAGGTTCTCCGTCTTCCGTTTTTAGAGATGCGGAAGGATCCCCCTATTGCCTTTTATTTCAGATAACTCTCATTACGATTTGCGGCTCAAAGGGAATAACAATGTGAGATTAACTGATAAGAGGATAAAATTAGAGAGCGAGATTTTCAAAAAAAACCTTGACCTTGATCCCTGGCCTTGATTTCGGTTGGGTACCTTGTTCAAATTCTTGACCTTGAGTCAAGGAAAAATCAAGGAACTCTGAAAAATGCCTTGATATGGACTCTGGATCCAGTAAAAATCAAGGTCTGGATCCAGATCCAGCTCGCTCTCTACTAAAAATACTTTTCAGATTTAATCTCTCTTATTGTCTCTAGTATTAAATAAAAGTGTAACACGTAAAGTTACAAAAAAAAACTTTTTTCTTTAGGCAATGTATGCCGGAGTTCCTATAATTTGTATTCCGGACGGAGGTGATCAATTCTACAATGCCTCCATTGTTGAACAGTTGGGGATTGGAATTTATATTAAAGTGGATTATGTTTATAGAAATTATGAAAATTTTGGACGTTCTTTGTTTCACTCCATCCGAGATATTTTGAATCAGTTTAGTTTTGAAAATTAAATGAAAAATTAAAATTAATCTTTTAGTCCCAACAAATACCATCAAAACAAGGCAGAAGAGCAGAGAGAAAATATTTTAAGCATTAATGAATCAAGAAAAAAATTTTTCCTTGAAACAATTGCCAAATCTATTCGTCGAAAAAGAGGAGGGAATTAATTTTTTGGGATGATTGCTTCTATTCTTGATTGATATTAATGATGGGAAAATTCAAGAAAATTAAATTTTGGGATGGGATTTAGACTAGCTTAAATTATATTTTAAAAATTATTTTTTAATTGTAGATTAATTAGATTAAATATAGTGGCACGCGGACATATCGGGACGGACATATCGGGATATTTCAATGTATAAACAGTTATCCTACTGATTTCGGGACCTACGACCACTGGACCTTGGATAGTATATTGTTATTGAGGAATAGTGTTTTTATGTTTTAGAACAGACATAAACACGCAAGAAATTATTTTTGTCACACCAATCCCGATATGTCTCCCGATATTCCGCACACCAATATAGTTATTAGAGGTCGGCACGGGACAGGAGGGATTTTACGGGATCCTTTCCGGAAATCCCGTGTTTTACGCGATGCACGGGGGTTTTACGTGATTTACGCGATCCCGCGGGATCATGCCCCGCAAAAATTTTTTATAAAAAATCCCGTTCGGGATCCAGGGACTTCGATCTTACCGCCCTCTAATTGTTATTGACCAAGAGTCTAGCCGACCCAATTTTCGAAATTGAAAATTTATTTTATTTGGATAAATTATTGTTATTGGCTAGAAAATTTTTTATTTGAATAAAAAATTTAAAAAAATATTTTTGGTGTGCTTTCTAAACGATTTGCCCCTGGGATTTAACCGGTGTATTTGGAAGTAGCGTGTTTTCAGGGACAGAGATGTTACGGGTTACATGAAACCCGGACTTTTCTTGACACGAACCCGACCCGAAACCCAAATTTTTTATCAATTCGAGACATTGCTGATCAGTGAGACAAGCAGTAGTGATTTAGTTTACTTATCTATAAAAATATTAAAAAAAAATATCCTTTCAATCTATTTTCTCTCTATTAACAGTAAAAATAGCGAATAATTCAAGCACCAAAAAGTCCATTAAAATGATTGCGACAAACCGGGTCGTTTCAAAATTTTCAGAAATTTTCCAAAAAAAGTCGAACAGCTGGTTTTTTTTTAATTTCTGTCCTATTTTTTATTTTTTTTTAATTTTAAAAATTTTTAGAATGACCATTAGCCAATTATACAAAAAAGTATTATCATCTTCCTATAATTTCAAACTCGTGCCTCGCTCTACGCTGCGAACTTTTGAGAGGATGAGAAGTTTTTTTTTTGATTTTTAAAAATTTTTTAAATTTTTTGACAGATTTTTCGGTAATTCTGGCTGCCACATCCTTTTTTATGTTTCCCTGACTATTTTGAGCTTTTTTGCTAGACATAGAATAATTTATATATCATTCGAAAGAGCTGTCCGTTTCCATTCTGTCCAATGATGTAAGTCAGATTTCGATGATTTTAGTGCCGTTCGACTCTGCTTGAAGAGCTCTTTCGAATGTATATAAGAAAATTTCATAGAAAATTTGATAGAAAATGAAAAAAAATAGAACATAAACGAAAGGGGGCGTCAGCCGAAGTGGCGTCAACCGCTTTTTCTTTTCTCTAGTTGATCCGAACACTCCAAAAATCAAATTAAATAATGCAGCTACACCAGAAACAACGGCAACCAACAATTTACCAAAATTGCCAGTTCCCCAATTGGAACACACAATCGAAAAATTTCTAAAATTTTGTAAGCCTATACTTGGACCTGAAGATTATGGAGAGACTTTAAAGGTTTGTTTAATTTAAAATTTAATTTAGAAATTTTGTAGATTGCTAATGAGTTTAAGGAAAGCATCGAGGCAAAACAGTTGCAAAAAATGCTGGAGAGAAGAGCTCAAAAACTGGATAATTGGGTTTGTTTAGTTTATTTTAGATTGTCTAGGTTAATATATGGACAGGGGTGTGCGAGTTTCGCGTTTCGCCTTTCGCGGATTTTCGCGTTTTTTGGACTTTCGCGTTTCGCGTTTCGCTTTTTAAAATCCGTTTCGGCACACCCCTGATATGGACATAGCGAGGGGGTCGATTTCAGGAGTGCTAAAATAGGATGTGTACCAAAATTTTTGAGAATTTTTAAGGTCGTAACCGAAAAATTTCATTTTTCTCCAATATTTTACCCTCCTCCCCAGATATATAGCCCCAGAAGCCCCCGGGCTACGCCCTTTAAAAAATCTTTATTGGCTTGCGGAAAGCAACCGTTGTTAGACGCTGCTATTTGCTTACATTAAATTGGCGTCTTCAGCTTGTTGAAAATTACAAAATGAGTTAAAACCGCATTTATGTGAGCGCATAGAAAAGTCTGTTGCCGAGCATATCTCGAGACGTTTGGATATTCTTACCCATGCTAGAGCTTTAGTTAATCTAGAGTTTTGTTTGAGAATAGAAATTTTTGTAGTAAATTAATCGAGTAAATTTTAAATTCGGGCTGGAGGGGTTAAAATGTCAAAATTAAACAAATTTTTTCTTTTTAAGTTAACTCCATGGTGGTTGGAAATTGCCTACTTATCAGCTAGAACACCACTTCCTGTCGTTACCAGTCCTGGCGTTACTTTTCCTTATTCCGTTTCTGGAAGAGACGAGATGATTGACTTGGCTGCAAAAATTATTCAATCGGCGCTATTATTTCATCACAAAATTTTGACGTTAATTTTATTTTTAAAATTATTTTTTAAGCCATTTTGGTAATTATTGTTTCCAGGTCCCTTTTTTCCTCCTCAAGTATTTCCTATATGTGGACTCGATCCCCGAAAAGCAGGAATTCCCTTCAATTTTTTTGGTCGGAATCCCTATTTTCCGAAATCGGGAATTTAATTTTTATGTCGGCTAGATCCTCCCCAAGTTTCCTGATATGTAATGGTCAGATTTTTTCTACTTCCATCTTAATTGCCGTTCTATATTTTGCCTCAAACAATTAAAAAGTGTTATTTTTTATTGATTTCTTTTGCAAGGAAGAACTGAATTTTGTTTGTTTGAAGTCAAGATATAGAAAGGCAGATTGGGATGGAAGTATTGAAAAAGTCTGACCATTTTGTACATATATAGGAAAATATATTGGAGAAAAAATGGGGGTTTGGAAATGACACTTTTACCCACCTTTTTTTAAGAAACGATTTGGCTCCAGATAAAGGACACGGTCACGTTTTATTTGACATGGAACAATATAAACTTTTATTTGGAACTACAAGAATACCCAAATATGGAAAAGATGAAATACGTTATGGAAAAGACCAAAAGATATGGGCTGAACATATTTTGGTTATGTGGCATGGAAATGTTTGTTTAGTTTCTTTAAATTTTTTAACTTAAAAATTTTAGAAAAAAAATTTTGGAGGTCAAAAAAATTTTTTTAAAAAAGATTTTTTGAAAATTTGGCTATTTTGGAATTTTAAAAATTTCTAAAAATTTTTAAATAGCCAAATTTTCTAAAACAAAATTTTTTCCAGATTTTTAAAGTTTCTGTTTGTGACGATGCTGGTAGAATTCTTAGCATTACCAAATTAAAAAAGGAATTGGATCTAATTATGCGAGGTGTATTTTCTCCAAATACTCAGGCGATAAATATTGTATCTAGTACTGATCGTGATACATGGGCAGAAGTTTATGAGCGAGTTAAAGGTTTTTTTAATTTACTCTAAACTTTTCCAGTTTTTTTCTTTTTGGGCGTAATTTAAAAAACCCTCATGTTTCATGACAAACCCAGGTCCGTTGAGAGTACTTAACTTATCCGATTCAGAAGAATCTGGATTCAACCTGAATACCTAAATTATTAGAGAAAACTATTATTTTCTGTCTTATTTTGTCGAAAAATCCCTAAATCTTTAAAAAAATAAAGGAATGGATTTGTGTATATTTTGTCGACCTGGAAAAATCTTCTCCTAAATAATGAAAATTTAAATTTTTTTATTTATTTTCAGAGAACAATCCTGAAAGTATTAAAATTATGGAAGACTCCCTTTTCATCATGTGCCTAGATGAATCAGATGAACCATATGAAAATGATAAACTTAAAAATGCTCAAGACGAGAATATGTCAATGGCACTACACGGAGGTGGAGCTAACAAAAATTCAAGAAATCGATGGTTTGATAAAACTTTGCAGGTTTTTTTGGAAATTTCGGAAATTCTCAAAAAAAATTTAAAAAAATTTTAGTTTTATGTCAACGAGAATGGCTATGCTGGTATAACTTATGAACACACACCAGCAGAAGGACCTCCACTTGCTCGCCTTTTAGATTTTATTTGTGATCAAATGTAATGGTTTTTTGTTTGTAAATTGAAGAAAAATTTTTTTTTAATTTTTAGAGATGCCAACAATTTCGAATTAGACTCTGGCCATCCTTTATTACCTCCGCAACGCATACATTTTAAATTAGGTCTGGAAGATGCTGTAGAAATAGGAAGAGCAGAAGAGAAATTGGAAAGGTTTTAATTTTATTTTTTTGTGGTTCTAGACTGTTAAGATTTATTGGGGAATTTTTAAGTTATTCCTTTTTGCCCATTGGTGTTGAAAGTGGACAAGGCACGAAACAATAATCTTACAAGGAAACCTCACGAACTGTCAGTCAAAACTTTGTATTTTTTGGTACCACTCGATAAGGCATCATCGATTTACTCTAGAAAATTTTTGACCTTTTTCCTAGGAATATGAAACTAAAAGGTTATGGAGCTTCAAAGTTTGGCAAAAATGGGGGAAATATCGAGTGATGCCAAAAAAAAGCAAAGTTTTTACGGACAGTTCATAAGGTTCCCTTGTTAGAATATTTTTTTTCGAGATTCTATCTTGAGTCTCGATCAAAAAATTTTTTTTGAGAATTTCGAAACTTTCTTAAATTTCAAAAAATACTATTTTTCAAACTTATTTCTAGAATCATTTATAAATTGTAATAAGTTTTCTAATACTCTTTCCTTATCTCCTATCTTGCTTCCATCCTTTTTTAATTATTTTAAACCCGTCTTAAAAGCAAAATTTTTTTAGAGTTGTACAAAACCTTGAAGTCAAGTCCTTAGCCTTCAATGCTTATGGAAAAAATGTTCCTAAACGCTCGCAGCTCTCTCCCGATTCCTGGATCCAATTAGCCTTACAAATTGCACATTATCGAATGCACAAAATTCATCCACCAACTTATGAGACTGGAACTTTGAGAAAATTTGTGGAAGGCAGAACGGACACAATTCGTCTTCCAACAACAGAATCTGTTGCCTTTGTGGAAGAAATATCTGCTAGACCTAGAAGAATGAGTGACAATGTTTTGTTGACTTTATTGGAAGCGGCAATAGATAAACATAAAAAATATTCGTTGGATGTTATGGAAGGTTTGGAATTTTTTGGAATTTTTTAGAATCAAAAAATTTATTTTTAAAGGCAATGGAATTGATAGACATTTATTGGGATTAAAATTGGCTGCATTAGAGGATGGATGGCGGCCTACCCCTCAAATTTTTAATTCTATTGGTTATCAAAAATTGATGCATTTTAAGTTGAGTACATCACAAGTACCAACAAAACATGTTCTTCCAATGGGTTTGATTTTTTAATTTTTTAGATAATTTAAGTGGAGGTTAGTGCTGGGTATTAAGTGTTTTATGGTTCTTGTTTTAATCGAAAACTTTGAAGCACTATGACTTTTCGAAATGGGGGTCAGGGCAAAAAAAAGCCAAAAACTAGCAATAGTAAACCGACCATGCTCTACACGATGGTGTGTGTTACATACATAAAATTTAGGTGATAGTTTGCGGTGGTCCCTTGTCAGGCCAGAGCTTTTCCGAGGCTCATACCCAACTTTTCCTGTTACGGAACACCCCAATTCTTTCAATCCTTAAGAGAACGGTTTGCGGACCAACGGACAATAAAAAGACTAGCTCGTCTTTGAGTCCAACGAGTTTTTCGACTCGTCTTTGAGTCCATATTTATTCTTTGTTCATAGGTCCTTGTATCAATGAATCTATAAAATTTAAAAATTATAGGTTTCGGTCCATCAGCACCAGATTGTTATGGAGTTTGTTACAATCCACAAGAACACAAAATATTTTTTACAATAACAGCCTTTAATGAATGTAAAGAAACTAGTGCTGAAAGGTTTTTTTAAATAATTATTAAAAAAATTTGTGTTTCTTTTTTAGATTTTCTAAAGAATTAGAAACGGCGTTGTTAGATATGCATGATTTAGTTGAAAGAACGGGTAGACTGAAAGAGAAATCGAAATTGTAACAAAATGGTTTATCAGTTATATTGAGAGATTAAAAGATGACTTTTTATTTAGCCTTATATTCAAGGGCGGGTTTAGGTCAAGAAGGATTTTTTTAGGGGTACCCACTCTATTTTCTTAAAATTTTTACCCTTCTTTGACTTTAGAAACCGCTCTCATATTTACACAGATATAGTTTTTGTACTCCTTTAATTTTTTAGTGCCTATATCAAGGGCTTAGTCAGGGGGTCGATTTCAGGGGGCTAAAAGCACAAGAAGCCCCCCCTTTTGGCCTCGCCCTTGACCTATATGTATAATTTCAAAAATATGCCTATATTCTCGTTGCCTCATTGCCTATAGACTTTTAAAAGTTCTCATAATATAAAATTGACTTTAATTTTTTTTAAATTTATTTTAAAAAAATGGTTTTATTAACCAATGTTTTCTTTAAAATCCTTTAAAAAAATTATTTTTTAAGCAAATTAAAGGAAAATGAGTGGCCAAGACATTGATGTTGACGGCAACGACAAGGAACGATTAATGGGTGGGTGTGAAGGCCCAAATGCTGCTTATGTAAAACTGGTTAGCAGTGATGGACACGAATTTTTTGTTCGAAAGGTTTCTTAAAAGTCGGAAATATTTGTTAAAATTTTTTAGGAGCACGCTTTAATTTCTCATACAATTCGTGCAATGCTTTCTGGACCGGGACAGTATGCAGAAAATGAAACGAATGAAGTTAATTTTAGAGAGATTCCGTCTCATGTGCTGCAAAAAGTGTGCCATTATTTTGCATATAAAACAAAATATACAAACAGTGCTACGGAAATACCGGTTTGAATTTTTCTAATAATTTTGGAGAGGTGCTTTTAAAAATTCCATTCTTTGTTTCGATCTGGGCCAAAAATCATATTCAAGACCACGATCAAAATTTTAGTTTATATTAGTTGGTATTGCCCCATGGGAGTCAAATTTTTGGAAATATTCTTTAAAAGAACATCGGGGAAAAAGAAAAGATAAGGAGGCTGATTCCACATCCATCCCTCACGATTTTTCTGACTTTTACAAAGTGATAGAGACCTGGACCCGTTGATTATTGGTAGAGAAAATTATTATTCGATATTAATCTAACAATAAGAAAAAATATTTTTAGGAATTTCATGTGGCTCCGGAACTGGCTTTAGAATTATTAATGGCTGCCAACTTTTTGGATTGTTAAGTAAAATATTCTTTTAAAAAGTTAATTTTTTATTTAAATTTACAAAATAAATGAATTGCAGACAAAATTTCCAACTTTTTCAGTTTTTGAATTAAATTTTCTAATTTTTTGGTCTAAACCTTTAAAAGCTATTGGAAAATGGACAGAATTGTGGAAAGCGTAAAGTGTCGAAATTTTGTTAGATTGAACAGCTGCGATTCCTCCCAACAAAAGGTAGCTGACTGGGAATGTTTGTAGTCTTTTTGATTTTAAAAAAGATTCTCCTTCTAGAAAATTTTTTATTTTTTCTGGTAAAAATAGGTCGTCTAAAGCGCTAAAAATTAAAAAAAAATTTTAACAAACAATTCAAAACTAGTATACTTTGAAAAGAAAAATTCTGCAATTATTTCAGCCATACGTGTTCTAATTAAAGTTTCACCACACCCAGAAAGCGAAATTGCTATAGAGGCTTTTTCACGTTTTTCAGCCCATATTGCAGCTCCAAATTGGGTAGAATGTCCTAAGCGACCTTCCTTTTTGAGAAGTATACCACCACTAGAGACCCCAGCTTCGCAGTAACCATTTTCCTGTGAAAGGATTTTTTAAAAATATTTTTGTGATACGACAGATTATCTAAAATAGGGTACCCCTTGATTTGCAGATTAATATTTGCGACAAAACAGGCATCAAATTTTAAAAGCAAGCAGTGTTATATGGGTGACTTTCTAACAATTTTGAGCTATTCCTTGTTCCAGTCCAGGAACAAGGTTCCAGTTCCTATATGAACAAGGTTCCAGTTCCTATATGGGTGACTGACTGGGATGTTCGCACCTCCAAAAATCCAGACGCCTGATTCACTTAAATATTCACGCTTATTTAGTTGAGCCCACAAATTACATCCTAACAATAAGTTTAATAAATCCTACTAACATCAATAAAAACACCTCCAGTTGTGTCAAGCCTTGAAATATTGTTCATAGAACCTCCATTCTGTTTATTATCGAATACTCTATTCATTGCCAAATTCCTGTCCCTTTTAGCCCTTTCTGTCCTCAAATTTTCGTTCAAAACAATTCCAACATTTAAAGCCTCACAATATTGATTTGCGCCTTTTCCAACCAAAACTATAGGTTTTATCAAGCCGTTTTCTTCTGAATTGGATTTATGTGACATTGAAAGCTTGTGTGCTGCATAAATTGGATGGGCACAATTTGTGACCTCAAATTTGTTTTTAAAATTTTCCTAAAAATTTATTTACCGAAGCAACGCCACCAAAAGCCAAATTATCAGAACACATGAAAGCCCCTTCGCATTCTACAGTTCCCGCGTCAGTTAGATTTGAACCATAACCACAGTTGAATTTTGAACATTTTTCTAGTTTCTATAAACTATTGAACTATAAAAAATAAATTTAACCTCCATAAAGGCCACGAAAAATGCTTACAAAGGAAAAGACAATGGAAAGAAAAATCGGGCGCGACGTCACCTTTCCTTTTATTTTTTTGTCGCAAGACGCAAAGCGACTTTTAAGCACGCCACGAGGACCAAGGTTATATGGTCTATAAGGATCGAGGTCTAATCCTTTTTTATAAAATATACCAGGTATAATTTCGGAATACTGAACAGAAAGCAAATGGGTCAAGTTATATGTCATTCGAAAGAGCTCGCCGAGTTGAGTCGAATGGTGAAAAAATTTTTGTGCGGACTCATACGGGGGCTGAGATATAGGCCCCCGAAAATCGAAAAACCATAGGGGGGACCAAGCACTTTTTTGGGGTCAAAAATTCGAATATGCAAATGATAGCTCATTCGAAAGAGCTCCTCGAGCTGAGTCGAATGACACCAAAATCAACAAAATCCGACTTGATTGGACAAAGTTATGATCTTTTATTTTAGCTCCTTACCTATGTCATCTATGGAGATTTTTGCTGCTACGGAGGCCCCAAATAAGTCCAGAGCAAGGGAGATAGGAATAGGTTTATGTTACGAGCCCAGACCCATCGCCCGTAGACTCCCCGCGAGGCGCGTGCCGCAAAACCCCGCGCGAAGCGCGGGGTTTTGCACAAGCGCCTCGCCGACGCTCCATAGGTTTAGGTTTTTTGTCGTAACTTTGTCTAATCTTGTTTAATCACGGTGATTTTGGTGTCATTCGACTCAGCTCGTCGAGCCCTTTCGAATGAGGTATAATTTACATATTCGAATTTTTTTGACCCCAAAATTTTCCAAATTTCGGGGGTCTGTAACTCGGCCATATGAAGTCGGATTTTGTTGATTTTGGCGTCATTCGACTCAGCTCGACGAGCTCTTTCGAATGAGCTATCATTTGCATATTCGAATTTTTCACCCCCAAAAACAGCTTGGACCCCCTATGGTTTTTCGATTTTCGGGGACCTGTATCTCAGCCCCTATATGAGTCCGCACGAAAATTTTTTCACCGTTCGACTCAACTCGACGAGCTCTTTCGAATGACATATGGTTTGACCCATTTGCGTTCTGTTCAGTATTCCGAAATTTTTCCAATATACCATGATTGCGTTGACAAGCCGATTATTGACTTCAATTTCATCACAAGCCTTCCCCAATCCATCATCTTTTAAAGCTGTTGCACAAAATTGCTCTATTCCTTCTTTAAATAAACCAGCACCTCCATGCACAGCAATCATTTTAAAATTATTTATTAGTACGTTGAAAAATCTTAAAAGACATTTCTAAGTTTTATCAACCCATTTTCTAAAATTAAAATATTTTAAAAGCAAAAGATTTTATTAATTAAAATTTAAATAAAATGCACTTAAAAGAAAAATAAGACAAAACAGATACTTTTCCATTATCCCTACGGACTAAAAAAATAAATTAAAAAGTCAATTGTCAATAGATTATTTGTCCACACCATCAACAATGTTTGACAGCACCAATTCCTCCTGAAATTTTTTAAATAAATATACATTTGTATTAGTGGGTCAACCCTTAGTGTTAAATGAGGCAATGATAAGGGAGTAAACAAATCCGAAATGATTTTCTGCAGAGAGAAAAAAATACTCGAAATAAAAATGGTCAAGGGGGGAAGCCAAAAAATTATTGAAAATGACATCAATGAAAATTCAAAAACAATCTTAACATAAACTCCTTATTTTTCAAGGAGGAACCGTTTAAAGTCAAAATATTAAAAACCTCCTCCAATTCAGCTTGTAATTTGTGTTTTTCATCCTTAAGTTTTTCCTCATATTCTAAAAGAAGAGCACGTCGAGTCGGCCAAGTAACTTGTTTGAATGATTTGTGAAGGTCAACGTCGTCAGCAGCCGAAGAAGAACAAGGTTCATTATCATCAACTTGTTCATCCAAACGAGCAAATTTTCCAGAAAACTGAAAAAAATTTATTTTAATAAATCGCTTAGCCAAAAAGAGGGAAAGATGAAGCGGTAAAATTGAAATTCGTCCCTTCCCCCTTTATTTTCCTCAAAATATTTTAAACGGTCAGATTTGAGGCGATAATTCTCGAATAAAACAAAAATAAACTAACATTGTACTTCTCGTCTGCCTTCTCCATCGATTTTTTTGAGAGTTTAGAAAAATGGTCCAAGGTGGCTTCTCTAATTTCTTTTGCCTTTTTTGGATCAAGAGTCAAATTTAAAGTTTTTTTAACATCATTAACCAAATGTTCTTCACCTAACAAGCCACGACAAACTTCCTCAACCAAATTCTTTTGAAATTTATCTAAGCGTTCCATACTCATAAATAACTAAAAATTAAGTTAAGACTTTTTTTAATAAAAAATAAAAGTCATAAAAGATTAAAATCACAAAAAAATCTTAAAGTAATTTAGCGTAAAATGTTAAAAATTAGATTTTGAAAAAAAATTCCAATTTAACATTTACCAATATAACATTTAAAGCCAATTTATATTTCATTATATATAAATTCAAAATGCCAACTAGAATAAATTTTGCCATTTTGACACATTATAAAATGCTCAATTTTAGAACGGAAAAACTCATAGTTTGTTATACTTGTTTTTTTTCTCATTTTTTCTGAAAAAATTTTACGCAAAATTTTTTTCTTTCAGATTTAAAATGAGCACACAAGATTTGTCAAAAGAACGCGTTTGTCCAATTTGTCTCCATCATTGGAACGATCCAACTGTTTTGGATAATTGTAACCATATATTTTGTTTTGATTGTATAATTGAATGGACTAGGTTATTTTTAAATTTTTGTTTGTTTAAGATTTTTATTTTTAGACTTAAACCTGTCTGTCCTTTGTGTAAGTGTTCTTTGGAATTGTTAAAACATCGTTTATGGGTCAACGATGCTGTTTTGCCAAATTGGGAGTCTGAAGGGCAAATGTAGCTTTCTTGCTGGTTAATCTTCTAATTATTAAATTTAAGTGAAAATATAATGGAATTGCGAAGTGAATATGAATTGGAACGTTTAATGGAAAAATCTGCACGTCAACCAGAACATGAGAGACAAGCAGTCATTCATTTGGTTAAACACATGCTTGGAGAGTTGTATACTTTGAGAAATATGTCGATTACTACTTATGCGAGGTATAGGTCTTTTTATTAAATAAAGAGTGGGCTTGGAAGAGGTTTTTAAAATTTTTTTTTTTGTTCTTTCCTTCACTTTCATTCAACACACTTTACCGAATTGCGCTATTTTTAAATTAGCGAGCATTTGTAAGTCACGGTCATTTTGTGAAATGCTGCCGTTGACGGTACTTACTTACTCTCCCCCCTCCCCCCAGTCAATTTTTTGAAAAATACATATGTAAAAATGGTCAGTCTGTCAAAAAAATGTAGAACACATCGCTGTGTCGAATGACACCATAATCAACAAAATCTGACTTGATTGGACCGAGATATAGTCTGATAAATGATGAAAAGTCTGATAGATATGAAAATGAACTTGAAAATCCGATTGATTTTTGAAATTTGACACAGCTTTTGGCTACTAATTATTACCCCTATTTCTTTCTCTCGTTCCCACTTTAACATTAAATACTTTTAGTGATACAATCTTCAAAAATGCCATCGATGCCATTAATAAAGAGCTTGACGAATATAAAAAACTTCTTATTGCCTTTAACGATGGAGCTTCAAGGTTTTTTTATAACTTTTAATTTTTACTGTTATTTCTTTAAAGGTCTGAATTATTCAAGACGCCGGCCTTTCGTCGAGTTGTTTATAAAGAAAATTTATCGCCTAGTTCGATTTGTCAGCCTTTGTTTAATATTGCATTGAATGCGGATTATATAAAGAATAATAGGGTTTAAATTTTTATTCAGGATTCAACTTCAAAATTTTTTAAAGGATATTGTTATGAAGCACATTACGCCTTTTGTGATTAGAGAAATTTGTGCTTTGACTAGAAAGGTTTATTTTTTAGTTTTTGGTTTATTAACAATAAGACATTCTTTGGAGGGGTTTTTCATTAAAGGGAATCTCTGGGGTTTGGGATTTCTATGAAAACTCGCTTCTCTTCTCTCTATAAAGCATTAACAAAAATATTGACACTTTTTTAGTCAAATATTTTCATTAATATTTTTACAAGGAAAGGTTGCAAGGTGCCCAACCTAAATCGGACACCTCGGTTGCGAGATGTCCTAACGAGGTGTCCGACCTCTTGGCCAGATCAAAAAACGGGCGAAAACGGCACAAGATCCTTGCTAGTAAGAGTACATTCTCTATCGAATAAGCCCGGTCTCGACCGTTTTTAGGTCGAACACCTCGCAACCTCTCTGTGTTAATATAGCTTTCATTTCCTTTTTATCTACCTTGTTCGCCATTCTTTTTCCCGCTTATTTCCACGGGTTCTCTTTACCTATTAATATAATTCTCTTTTAAGGATGCTATTGACATTCATGTATATATGGAGAACATTATGGATTATTTCACAACCAAACTTAAACGGCAACAAATTGTTTCGTTTTTAAGTCGACGAGGCATAGAAAATCCACACCAATTTCTCAACAATCTTCTTCATTTTGCTTCGAGTGGTCAAACTTTGAAGGTCTATGACCAAAATTCGGAATATCGGTTTATTTGTTTTTAAAAATTTTTTTTTTATTTTTTTAGTGTGCGTCGTTCAAATTATGTTGGCGATTTGTTTCCTGAAGATGATGATGTTTTGGTTTTAAATAGTAATGTTGATGTTGAAGTTCTTGGTCAAAGTAATAGTAATATTCGACGTTCTCAAAGCAATCATCAAAGTCCTGTTTCTATGGAAATACCCAATAATAATGCTTCGCCGTTAGTTGTTTTTTGTTAGAAATTAATAGGTGGTTGTCTTGTAATTTTAACAATTTCGGCAAGTTAATGGTCCGATGAGTTAAGTCTCAATTAGGTGATTTGCTCTGTTGTTAAGCTCGAGTTTCTCCATATGTATTACTTTTGGTCGGGAGAAATGTCGGGACTAAAAATTTTATCGTCCCCTAGCTATTGAACTATCAACATATTTTTTAGGAAAAAGATCCTGAGGAATACTTATACTAATAATAGCATAATTTAACCTATGTATAACAGAAAAGTTTTTCATAGGAAACAAAAATAACCCCCTTGAGTCATTACTTTTGCCTCTTCTATATTTCTAGTTCTAATTTCTGTACGTATTGGGAAAAGAGGTAGTTGTGAGCAGGCCCGTAGCCAGGGGGACTTGTGACATTTCCACAACTTGTGGCATCTCCTAAAAATTTTTTTTTAAATATTCAATATTTTTTTCAGTGCAAGTAATTCAAATTTTGCAATTGAACTTGATCCAGAAGACAATGATGATGTTGAGATTATTCAAGTGAGTAGTACTAATAATCAAAATAATCAACGTTCACGTTCGCTCAATAACTATTTTGACCCAAATTCTATGGATATTTCTGACAGTACTTCAGTTGCTTCACCATGTATTTATACGCTAGATTAAATTGTTTTTTAGTTTTGTGATTTATAAAGCAAAGAAGCTTTATGGTTAATAATTTGATTTCTTGGTGAAAATTGGAATTTTTTTTGGAAATTTATTTTTAAATCTCAGGCGGTTTTTTGGGCTATTTTCTTTGAGAAATTATTTTCCGTGTATCAAAATTAAATAATTAAACCTTTCAAAAAATTTTTTTGCGTTATTTAAACGAATAGTATGCTTAAATGTCTGTCATCCATTGTTTTTCATTATTAGGGTTGGGGGCACGATCCGGCCCGGTCCGAAAGATCAAGTCGGGCATTGAATTTTGGCCCGAAAAAGACTCGGACAGGCCGACCGAAAAAATGAAGCCCGAAAAAATGAATCGACTTGAAGACCCCAACCCTATTCATTATTATTACTATAATGTTTTATTTTATTAATTCATATTACGATTAAATTAATTCATTGACTGACTATTTTTTGAACTTATTTGTTGGAGATTACTATAAATATTTTTTTCAATTTTAATATTCTTATTTGTAAAATACCAAAGGAAAAATGACTTCTGTTAAATTCGCTCAACGTTTTATAAACAAAAATCCAAGAAATATGGAGATGTGTAGATTGTTACGAAAGCCTGATGGATGGGAGTTTGAGAAGGACAGAATGCGGAAAAATTATATTCACAGGTTTTTTGCTTAAAAATATGGATTAGGAAGTGGAAGTAGGATAACTGTTACAGGGAACTTTCGAACTTTTTACTCACAGTTCGAAATGTCCCTTGTAAGATAACCGTCATTTTTTAATTTTTGCTTTGGGTTCTATCTAGAAGTGTTTATAAGCACCAGGCCACGTGTCCCTGGTTATTTTGTTCAATCTGACTCGTTTCGGGGTTTCCTGGCTAACATAAGCGCTCTTAACTGGATTTGTTTTGAGTTTTAAGTACCAGAGTTTTTTCAATATGTGCTTTCTTCCTCGATTTCATTTTATTTTCTTTTGGAAAATTACAATAAGAGACATTACTAAAGAAGAGATTAATTTTTCAATCCTTTATTTGTCGACCGAAGGGAAATAGAATGAAATTGAGTAAGGAAGGAAGCACATATTGAAAAAACTGATACTCAAATTAGGGGGGGGGTGGTATATCCATAAAGTACCCTGGATTTTATCAAAACTTCCGGCTTCTGAGCTGATCCGTCTCGAACTCTAGTAGTCCCCACTCTTCGAGCGTTTCTTTTCGATTTTTCTTAAAATTTGTATTTAATAGAGTCGACTTCATTGTTACCAAAAATTCCACAACTGCAAGTGTTGTGCATTATGAACGTGGCCAAGCAATTATTGAAGCCTCTACAAATGAAAAATCTGTTCGAAACCAGCTTTATAGGTTCATTAATTTTTATTAATTTTATTTCAATTTTATTTTTTAAAGTCCAACAGATGTTTCGGCTGCACAAAATATTGGAAGATTGCTAGCTCATAGATGTGCTATGGCTGGAATTAAATATATTACTTCTGGAATAACTCCTGAGGAATTGGAAGGGAGCAAGAGGGTTGGTTTTTGTTTAATTTAAAAAATTTTTTTAAATAGCTGTTAAAGAATTTTTAAAAACATTTGGGTCCGTAACCTTGCGTGTTTCTTATTCATGTATTTTATTTTTTTCTCGTATTAAATTTTCAAATCTAATCTTTCCACGATCACAATCAGAACCAAGGGCGTATCCAGGGGAGGGGGCTTCTCTCTTCTCCCAATGTTAGCCCCCCCCCCCCAAAAAAAACCGACTTTCTGGATACGCCTATAATCAGAACTAACATTCTTTTTTCGCGACGCTGCTCATACTTTTTGGTATCAATTTCTTTTTACTTTCTGTTCTCTATTTTTCATAATTTTTTCTTTCATTTTTTTTTAAATATTCCTTCCGGATCTTTATTTTTAACTTTCTTCAGTTTTTTATTCCTTTAAACGTGCCAGATTTTACATACGTATGTAACTTTATAGGTTTTAACATTATAGTAAATTAAAAAAATTTTTTTTAACCCCAATGTTCCTTTCTTTCAGCGTTCTGCATTCATAAGAGCTTATTGTTTTCTGTTTCTATTTTATTTTTTCTTTCGATATTTTTTGAAATGTGGTTATTATTTAGTGGATTTTCTTTTGAGGTTTTTTATTTTCCTATGCGCGCCAATTATATTTTTTTAGATCCAAAAATATATCCAAATGTTCCTTTCTTTTAGCGTTCTGCATTCATAAAAGCATTGGAAGAAAGCGGTATTATTTTGTTTGAACCAGAAAGTATTCCACATACACACTTAAATGACCCTCATTTAACTTGGGAACCGTTCCCATTCAAACATACGCGTGATGATAAATTGGATGAATTAGATTTGGAATTAGAACCTGGGAAAGGTGTTTGTTAAAGAAATAAATTTATTTTTGTTTTAAAATTTAATTTTAGTTTTGATTAAAATATTTGAAAATTTTAAATTCGAAAAAATTTATTTTCTTTTAAATAGTTTTTTTGAAGTTTTTTTGACCTTTCACCAATTATTTAAGAATATCAAGAATAGAATATCGAGAATAGGCGTGTTGTTTTTGAGGACCTATTCAGATTTCCGGAACAGAACCGAAAAATGCACGGTTCTTCGGTTTGGTTTTCCTAACCGACAACTCTAATCAAGAATATTCTATCTATTAGGGTTGTGCCTCGTCCTCGAAGGTCGCGGAATTTCAAGTTTAGGTAAAATTTTGGTCACTGGGCAAGTATCAAACCTTCAACATTGACTATGTTGTTTTTAGACCTTGCTTTTAAGTGTGACTTTAAAATAAATCTATTAAAAAAATAATTTAAATTTACAAAACAAAATTAATAATAATTATCACAAAAATTGAAAATAATAAAATATTTATTTGGTAAATTCTAGTAGTTGCTGCCCTATTCCTTTTCACTTTAGAACCCTCTAATCTTTCAACATCCCAATTAGTTTCTTCATCCCAATAATTAATAACTTTTTCATCTTCACTATTTTTCTAAATAATATTTTTTAGTAAATTTATTTTTAATTTGATTTACCTCATTATTTTCAACATTTCTTTGTCTAATAGCCTCTAATAAAAATAGTTCTTCATTTTGTCTAACCAAATATTCAACCGTTTTCTGGATTTGTAACATTGTTTTTGTTGCTAAAAATTAGAAATTGAATTTGAAATTTATTTTATGGTCCCGTACAGGAATGACTTTTTGTCTCTTGGAGTTGTCTGGGTTTGGAATAACTAGAAGATTAAGAGCTATGGGGATTTCTAACTTTCCTTTTTACTCAGTTCCAGAGGTTGGTCGGAAATGCTAAGGTGTCGGAACTTGGAGCTATTGGGAATCGGACTGGCTCAAAATTCGGAACTTGGAAACCATGCAAATTTTCTGAAATCGGAATTCCTAACTTCCCTGTCCATTTCCTCATTTTGCCTCCCCGTCATTGCCGAAATCAGAAATGGGATAGAAAAATGAATTTATATGTAGATTAGAAGAGATAAGATTATACTTATAGTTAATCTCTTACCATTATTGTTTCCATTAATTGTCGCATTTTCTCTCATTGTAGACTGAACATCTTCAAAATAAAAATTTTCCCCATTCCAACATTTTTCTCCCGGTTTGGCTTGAATTCCTCCCTCTCTACAAATTAGGCGGGGAAAAGAATGCCACAATCCTCTAATATTTAATAACTAAAAAAATTTTTTTTTAATTTCGAAAAAATTTTCAAACAAAAATTTTTTTTTGCCCACCCTATCTTTAAATTGTTCTACAGCAATTTTTGTTCTCCTCGCTTTTAAATTAAAAGTTTTAAAATTGATATAATCCAACTTTTTTGATTTTCTCTTATCAAAAGAATTAAAATCAGAATAATTACAGTAGTCAAAATTATTCTCTCTTCTCTCCCTTTCCTTTTCTCTGTCAGTCTCTTCATTTTCCCTTTTCTCTCTCAATGCTAATTTTTCAAAATTTTCTCCATAACAACGAAAAATTATTTGATTAGAAATTATTTCTCCCCTTTCTTGATAGTACATTATAGCATCTGATATTTGTGCTGGTAAAGGTCTGAATACGAGGTAGGGGTTGTGAACGTGTAAATAACTGCTAATTTCAATGAGGATATCTAAAGAAAAATTTTTTTGGAATTTTCTGAAAAAATTTTTCCGAAATTTTTTTGAAATTTTTCTGGAAATTTTTGAAAAATTTATTGAAAGCACCTATAAGTATCCTCCATTGTCCATCCAATACCAACAATTCCTTAATACATTCGTGATATACTTTTTGACACAAACCGGCACAAGGTCGAAGGGATGGATCACCTCCTGTACATATTCCGCAATGCCTTATTTGGATTAGTTGAGGCAAACAACTTTTGGGTGTAGAAAAATTCTAAAAGTATTTTAAGTATTATCCTTGCCTTTATCCTTTCTATCTTATCCTCTATTCTTTTCGAGATATCCTACCCAAAGGGAAATTTTTTGAAATTATACGAGGAAGAATGACTGACCATTTTGTACATAGGGAAAAAAATTGGGCAAGGGGAGGGGGGAGAACGAAATTAGTATCGCTCTACCCTATTCAACGCTGGCTATTCAACCACCTCGTGTTTCTGTTCCAGTCGTTTCTGGATATTCCTAGCTTTTAGTTTTCCCAATTTGAAGGACATGGGATAGGATAGAAACAGATAGGATAAGATAGGCATTCAATCTCATAAAATTTGCCTTTTCCAAAACTTGTAAATTTTGAGATATTTGTTCTAATGCAAAAATTGTTGATGACCAAATTCTAAACGCCCTCCCAGTCAATTGCGAAATAGCTTCTGGCCCAGAACCAAAAGGCCGTAAAATTGGGAAAAGAGACATAATACAATTTAATATTTGTTGTTTTTCTTTATCAATTGAACGCTTAAAAGTAAGGAGAAATTTAAATTTAAAAATTTTCAAACTAAAGGATTTAGAAGAGAAAATTCTGTTAAAAATATCCTTTTAAAAAGTTGTTGTAAAGCTTCAATAAAACAACCATTTCCTTGTTCAAAAACGAGTAAAGAATCATTGACAAATTTATTAAAAATCTGAAATCAGATTAGTAATTAATACTAGTTAGGAGACTGATCCAGATTAACGCACGATTTTCGGAAAATTCCAAGAGTTCCGAGTTCCAAAATTTAAAAAATTTCCGAGTTTTGACGTTTGAGCTATTCCAAGTTCCGGCACCTTCAGTTGTCGAGGGTTTGTCTCCCAACTATTATTCCAGCTAGAGTTGCACCCCGCTCTCGTACCCCGACATACTCGCCCCCGAGCGTTTGGGGTGCAATCCTAATCCGAGCCTTGCCAACCTCCCTCTCTTAATCTCCCAGTTATTCCCTCTCCCCCAGTTTTTCCCAAGAGATCGAGAAGGGTACTATAATTGTTATAATCTCCCCTTCTCTCTCTCTCAATTATGTACCTGCTTATTTTGAACATAAAACTGTCCATATGTCCTCCTAAAAATTTTCCGTAAAGCTGCCATTGAATTATTAAATCCTTCTTTAAAATGGCCTTTAAAAATACAATTTTTAAATTTTTCTCTTAAAAATTTCCCAACTTTTAAAATTTGTAGCTGAATAACTAAAAAATTGGTGAATTAATCTAATTTGTGATTTAACATTTTGATTAAATTCTGTTTCAGTCAAAAGACTAAATTCCTCTTCCATTTGGGATGTACAGCAAGTTGGGGTATTTGACTGACATATTGAGAGGTTGGAGGCTGGAAATTTTTTGGGTAAAAAAATTTTAAAAATAAAATTTATTAAGAAATTAACTTTTCAGACTATTTAAATTTAATAAAGTTTTGTTCCCCTTGAGTGGGACTCGAACCCTCGACCTTACCCCTTGAAAACTCCAAATTTTCCAACTTAGCCACAGATACACGGTGAAGTTAAATGCTAGGGGACGTTTCGGCGCAGCTTTTAAAAATAGCTCTGAGTTATACAGTTGCGTTAAAATTTTTCCGAAACACCCTTAATGGGTTTTCTAACCTATAAAAATTTTTTTAGAATTTTTGTCTATTATTTTTAATACCATTTTGTACATAATTATCAGTCTAATAATATTCCCTTTATTATTCTACCTCTTCTTGGTTCATCGGGCACATTGTAAAATAAAAACTGGGGGTATTTTTGTTTGAGAAAAACACAGGTGGACTGTCCCATTGTGATGCCAAACAAAAAAGGGAAAATTGAGGTCATAAAAATTGTTATTATTTTTGAGAAATTTGTTTTTGTTGTTGTTTGGTTAATAATAACCATTCCTTTTTTTGTGGGAAAATTTGAGGGGGAAAATAAATAATTATTTAGTGAGGAATTGAATTAATAATTCATTTTTTTCTGAATTTTATTTTTAATTATATATTTAATAATCTAAAATGTTTTAGGGTTAAATTAGAGGTTGAACCGATCGAGTTTACAAGCAAGTTTTCGAATTTTTTTGACTAGGAGGACGTCTCGGCGCAAGCTTATAGAACTGTCAATCTTGTCCTTATAAGGGTGAACTTTTGTCTGTATACGAGTTGAGTTTTGAATTTTTTATCGAACAAACTCAATCGGGGGACTATTGGCTAGGCTCTGTCTTATGCTTTATTTTTTTCATTTATCCCAAGGCTTTAAAGACATTCTAAATACATGGGATAAGATAGAGGATTGTTTGTCGACTGGGAACATTGTTGAGATAAGAGGGAGAGAATAAATGGAATTAGACTTATACAAAGTTACAAGGGGTTGTAGGAAGCAACATTCCTTCAGTTTCTGTCCTATTTATTTCCCAGAAACCATGGAAAAGAGAAAAGTTTGAGAGAGATGCCCTCCGGAAAAGTTCAAGGTGCGCTGACGGATTAAAGGTAATATCCGATTTCTATGGAAAATTAGTCTAAAGATTATCTTAGAAAAACTTTTTGTTTTATATTTTTATTTTGGGTAAAAAAAGTAAAAATAACAAAATAAAAGGTGTGCGCAGAGTGGAAGGAATAAAAAGGGATAGAGGAATTAAGAAGGGGGGTTTTATGGCAAAAGGCATATTTTTTTTAGTTTTTTCTACTTTCACTCTATGAAAGAATATCCTTTTACCTACCATAAAAAGCGACGCTTTCCCCTCCCTCCCCCTTATTTTTGGTCAATATTCCCCCCCCCTCCCCCTCATTTTTTATATCCTTTTGTATTTGTCCATTTTTTGAGTCTGTTCTTTTTTTCCCATCATTTTTCTTTTGTGGAAATACCGCTGGTAACTCATCTTTCTTTTTTAAAATGGCAGGAAATACAAAATTAAGAGCGATTTAAAATTTTTCTTTTTGAGGAAAAGATATTTTTTTTCGAAAATTTAATGAGTGGTAATTAAATTTTTGACTAGGAGGACGTTTCGGCGCGGGCTTATAAAAATGCCTATTTTGGCCATAGAGGGATGAAAGTTTGTTTAATTATTCCTTTTAGTGGTATCTAGATTGTCTAAAAATTTGAGAATTTTTGGTTAAGTATTTCTAAAGTTATGGTCAAAAATCCAGACATAACCCAATAAAAATTGACAACATCCTCGAAAATTTTTATATTTTTGTCCATAACTTTAGAATTAATGGACCAAAAATTGTAAAATTTTTGAACAAGCTAGATACCCCTATAAGGAATATTTGTACAAAATTTTGTTGCTCTAGGGTTTCAATAATGGACATTTTAATAAATCCGCGCCGAAGTTTTGTTTGCGCCGAAACAACAAAAATTAATTAAAATTTTATTCAAAAAATTAAGGCTTAAACTGTGATTAGAAAAATATGAAAAATGAAAATTGGTGCAAATTAATTAAAATTAATAAGAAAAAAATGCACACGCGTTTGGTGAAAAATGGCAGGAAAATAATTAAAAAGGGGAAAATTTTTTGAAAATTTTTTTTTGGAATTTTTAAAAAATAAAATATTTAAAAATTAAGGCAGTGGTGACCAGAAAAATGAGTAAAAATATGTGTGGATTTATACCAATAAACAAATAATTGTCCAAATACCAATTATTTGTTTTAATTGGTTTTTAAATAAAATTTAGATTAGTAGTAGTTGAAAAATTAGAGCAAAGTCAGATTGGGATATCTTGGAGAGATTCACAAGGTGGGGCATCTAGGGAGGGAGTTAACAAAAAATAGGGATCTGTGGGGAGGGGAGATATCTTGGGGAGAGTTACAAGTAATTATTAATTTTGGATAGTGAAAGAAGTTCAGATAGGGATGGACAGAAATTGAATTGAAAGGAGAGGAGAGGGCATCGGCAGTTATGAAAGAATAAAAAAATTTTGGGGGGAATAGGCTACTGAAATTTTTTTTGAAATTTTTCAAGAATTTTCTTTCTGGAAATTCAGGGTCTCCGATTGGAACTGAAAATGGTGTGATTCTAGAAAGCAGGGAATAGTATATCCTCTCTAGCTAAGATATCCCAACTCTGACCAAACTTCTAAAAAGAACATTTTTTCTTAAACATTAGTAGGTACAGCAGTCCCATAAACAAATTCTTGTCCAAAACCTTCTCTTATATTTTTATTAAAATTATTATTTTTGTCATTATTTGTTGGTTCTAGTGGAGGTGGAGTTTCTGGACATTGTTCAACATCGGCAATTATACTCACAGAGAGAATGAATTTTTCACTGGAAAAAAATTTTTTTTGAAAAAATTTTTGGGGAATTTTTAAGAAATTTTTGAAAATTTTTTGAAAATTTTTTTTGAAAATTTTTTTGAAATTTTTTAAAAAATTTTTTGAAATTTTTTAAAAAACTCCAAAAAATTCTTTTGAAATTGCTTTAAAATTTTTGAAAATTTTTGAAAATTCTTTGAAATTTTTTTTGAAAATTTTTTTTTCTAAAAAATTCACCTTGGATTATACTTTCTACAAAGCTGAATTAAACTAGGCTCCTTCCTTTGATCTATCAATGCTTGTATTGGGTAATAAAATAATAACTGATTAGGGTCATGTCTTGCAAATATTTGCCAGCCCTTTTCTAAATATAATTGGGCTGAATATGCTGATCTAAAAATTAATTTAGGAAAATTCTTGACCAAAAAATTTTTAGTTACATTAAACGTATATTAACTGAACCGCGTCCTTCTCTTCTAAATCCTTCTCTTGCAACCCTGGACATGTGAAATTGTGTTTCTGGGTCTCGACGGACCTTGAGAGTAAAATAATTTTAAATTTTGGATTAGAGGAAAACGGAGTTTAGAGGAGGGGGCTACTCTTACAAAATATTTTAGGTATCCGTCCATCCAAGAATCGATGGATTTCTCCAGTAAAAAATCAAAATTATCTATATGTAGTATTATTGGTAGTGCGAAACTTGCGGACCGACTTTTGCGGACCAGGGGTTTATGTTTTTGTTTTTCTATCGTAACTTTGTCCAAGCTTGTACAATCACGATGATTTTGATGTCATTCGACTCAGCTCGTCGAGCTCTTTCGAATGAGCTATGTTTCGAGAAATTCGTCGGGTCCGCAAGTTTTTGTCCGCAAAAGTCGGTCCGCAAGTTTCGGCCAGCCGTATTATTAAATTCTCGGATTAATTAATTGGATCTCAATCTCGTTCGTTAAATCTACTAAATGTAGGGGAATATTGAAACGACTTTTGAAAATTGAGAATGATGGGAATTAGGGTTTGGGGTTCGAGTCGGGCCGACGTTCGAGTCATTTTTTCGGGCCTTATTTTTATCGGGCCAGACCGAAGAGTTTTTCGGGCCAAAATTCGATGCCCGACTCGATATTTTGGACCGGACCGGGCCGGGGGTCCCCAACCCTAATGGGAATGGATGTACTGAGATTAGCTTTACCCGAGGAGAGTCGAAGACATATCCCTAAGTGATCTTGAAAGGACCTGGAACCTTAAATCAGATTTTCTAGGCTTTTGGTCTATTAGTGGAAGTAAAAAATTTCCAAGCAAATACCTTCATAATAACCTCTTTACAAAGAGAATTTATTCTGGCAAAAGAACATTTATCTCTATGCCTTTCCCAATCTCGTTGTCTACAACTACGAGAACAATAATAAGTATAACAATGTCGACACCAACAATAATGACCTCTGGCTTCTGGTAAAGGTCTAACTAATTGGCAATTTGCACAGCGGACATAAATTGGCACATTCTGAGAGTTTAAGGAAATTGGTTAAAGTTGTGAAGTTAAATCTGGGAAAAAGCTGTCGGACCTCTATTTTACGTAAACCTTTGGAGATACAAGAAGGTATAGAAAATAGAAGGGTATAGACTTTGGAAGATAACCTAATTTCTAATTAACACTCGCTAGTAGCGACTCGAAGGGGTTGGAGAAAAGGTCGCCTATAATGAGAGTTGCTAATCAATGCCCAAGGGGCTTTGGAGGGAACGAAGAGATTTCTTTATAACGTCATTAAAAAGTCGCTACTAATGAGAGTTGACTAGAAGTATATTCTGATAGGGTTTTTAAAATAGAGGAGTGTCTATAAAACAGAAGGGCCATAACATAGAGGTTTCTAAAAATATTTGAAAAATTCCCCCCACCCCTCTTTACCCTAAGCAATTGTTCAGCCAGTTGTGGCTGTTCCGCCAACTTATCCATCAATGCCTGATTTGGAGTAAAAATTCCAGGGCCGTCTACATTTCGAAATTGCGATTGAGACTCAGAGAAAGTGCTTTAAAATTTAAAGGAATTTAATGAAGGCTTTAAAATTTCAAGAAAAATGCCTTGGATCTGCAGGAGGGAGATCAGGAATATATTGAGTAGATTGAAAGATTGAATCTAATACTTCTTCTAAAGTAACTCTTCCTCCATAGCGTTTGCCTAAAGGAGGTTGTTGTCCATCTGTTGCTGCAGGACGATCAACAAAGGTGTCAACTACTTCTACTACTCGGGAGTTTTGACTTAAAAGGAAGGGTTAAAAATTTTAAAAGAGTATTTTTTCTGGTAATATTATGTGACAGGGAACGATCCGCCATGAAAAAAATTTCGACCTAGTGAATCGGGATTCAGAATAAATTTTAAAATGCAGATTTTGGGGAACCCGGGACGGCAAGTTTCTTGATACATTTGTTTTTAATCAAAAACCTATCATTTAATCAGTGTTTTCCCAAGTTCACGGGAACGGGGAGGGGCACTACATCTGACATTGTTCTATCAAAATCTAATAATATTTTCTCGAAGGTGTTATTAGTGAGATTTTTGAGCAGGAGACTTAGATTTTTTGAATCCAAATATTTTTTCAATTGTCCAAAAAATTTCTGAAAATCCCACCGTTCTTTAGGCGCCATTCTCCATTCACTAGGAACAGTAGAAACAGTATATCCAGGCAAGTGACTGCCTTGTGGATATGCTAATGTTTGCACTTCTGTTTTGGAGAAAGCCTTTTTTTGAAAAATTATTAATTAATTTTTATTTTTAAATTTATTCAACCTCGTTTTTAAGATTATTACAATCTCAAGTTAAGAGACTTTTTTTAATCCCTTAACTTATTGGCGTCCCCAGGGTTCAGTGGGAATATGTAGTGGGAGGTACACCTCTAGGACTATCAACCCTGCCCCTGAAACACCGCAAGGACCTTTGAAAAAATTTTGATCTCCAGTTAAGAGACTTTTTAAAAATCTTGCTTTGACATTGGAGGTGGCTGGGTGGGAAGTGGTTAAACGATAAGCCTAGGTGAGCGCCGTTTGGATATACGATTCCCTAAACCAAAAGGGATCTAAAACAAGGTTCGACTATACAAAATTACCTCTTTAGAATATTCTCTAGTTACTGTATTTCCTTCAACTATTAATTTTGGTGGTTGTTGTTGAGGCTTAAAAAAGGGGTTGTGGATTTAATTTTAAGAAAAATGGGAAAGAAAGGGCAAAGAGGTTAAAGTAAAGGATAAAGCAATAAAAGCAAACGCATTATTTTTATTCCTCAAAGAAAAATGCTTAAATTTAATTGAGAACAGTTTTTCAGGGTTGCTCAACAAGTACAGGCTGACTACGCTACTTTACATTCTACTTTAATAGATCTTACGACTAGCTATCTCCCTTCTTTCTTAGCAGACTTGGTAATGGATGCGGTTATGGATTAGGGGTGAGCGCATTACGTTTTTTGTGTTCTGCGTTGGTTTATTGGCCTTGCGTTGCGTTTTTCACGATTTCCTCTTGCGCTTACCCCTGCTATTGATACAGAGAAAATATCTAGATGCCTGAGGATATCCGCCTTTATCTGCCGTAAATGCTCGGATACGGATACCATAATCAATGGCCATGACCAAGTCTGTTCCTTACATAGGGAAAGATTTTTCGGTACGGGTCCGTGTATCCAAACTTTAGTCAGTTTCAAGCTTTAAATTTTAATTTTTGAAGCAAAGTGGGAAAAAAGGATAAAAGCAGAAATTATATTAAATTAAATTTGAAAAAGAAATACCGAAGCTGGAAAATTAAAAACAAAAATTTTTATTAATTTTTTTTATCAATTATTACCATATAAATAATTAGATGTGCAAAAAAGTTCAAAATTTAAATTTAAAAAATTTTATTTTAATTTAAATAAAAGTGCGACAGAAAATGAAGGCAAAGGGAAGAAAAGGAAAAAGGGAAAATGCACGAAATTTTAAAAATTTTGGAGGGAAAAAATATTTTTTGGCACACAAAATTAAATTAATGTATAAAGGAACTGATAAAAATTTTTTTAAAAATAATCTCTTGTGCCAAAAAATGAAATTTTAATTTGCTTTTAAGGATAATGTGCACATGAGCATTAAATTAAAGAATATTATTTTATCAATTATTTACTTATAATTATTTTTTATTTTAAAATGGCATTTAATTAAAAATGGCAAAGAGGGTAAAAGTTAAAATTAATCTTATGTTTAATTTGTTAATTAGGAAAAATTGAAAGAAATTTTTTGTTTAAAAATATTTTAGGCAGTGGTTTATTGGAAAATTATTAATTTTTAAATTTTTCAAAAAAATTTTTTAGGCATTAAAAGTTGTGTGCTTTAAACGAACCGAGTGGGTGTGAAAAAGGAAAAAAATAACAAAAAATGTGCAAAATAAATTAAAGAAAATTTGAAAAATAAAAAAAGGAAAAGCCAAAAAGCATTAAAAACAAGGCAAACTTTTGAGGAAATTTTGCGGATTTAAAATAATGATAAAAAACCATCTTAGATTTTTTCATTCTAAGAGTAGGATGGAGTTTGATAGAGTTAAGCAGCTGTGCTATAGCTATTTCTCCCCCTTTAGCTAGTGCAAAAGATTTTATTCGGCAGCTGGGAGCGAACCAGCATCTTCAGTAGACCGGACTGATTTGTTATCCATTACACCGCGCCGCCTAATGCATAGCCTTGGGTATTAAATAGCTATATTTTCACAGACCTAAAACTCTGGGCTGTCAAAATAAAATTTAAAAAATTGAAGACGAGAAGTTAAAAATCAGAAAATTTGAGGTGGATGGGAAAGCCTGCAAAAGGAAGCCTGCAAAGAAGCCTGCTAATCCAAAATAATTTTTTCTTCAATAAAAATCTTTTAAGAATTTTCACTTTTCCTTCACTCGGCTCGTTTTTCACATCAAAACACACAGAAAAACAGAAATAAACACAAACAAAAAAATTTTTTTCCAGAAAAAAATTTTTTGAATTCAAAGCACGCAGACCTTTGTATGTTCCTGTGGATGTGTTGCAGTTCCTCCTCCACCTCTTTCTCTTTCCCCACCCAAACCCAATTGATGTAAAGAGCCTCTTGAACGTCTCAAATCTTCAATTTCTTCTTTATATTTATCAAACATCCCTGCAGGGAAAGAAATTCCTCCGAGAGGGGGAGAACCATAAATTGTTGTTGTTGGAGGGGGTTGCTGGGTATATTGCCATGGACGTGAAGTTTCTTTTCCGTATAGAGAAGAAATGGGAGGAGGTGGTTCTTGGCGAGTATAGGGGTACTAAAAATGAGGTTTTGGTATTTTTTGAAATTTTAAGAATTTTTCTAAAATTTTTTTTGAAATTTTTAGAAATTTTTTAAAATTTAATTTAAATTATACATAGGGTTCGAGCCGTTTTTCAAGTTTTTAAGGACTATATAGGCTATTATAATAAAGCTAGGATCTTTTGACATTAATTAGAAGGCGAATAAAAATTAATTTTTACCATAAAATATTTTTTAGTAAATTGGCACTGAACTGGCTTTCCTTAAGTATTTGTTCGAAAAGAAAGGGAAACTCAAAAAGAGGGGTACTGTAAAATGAGAATTGTTAGATATTTTTAATTTTATTTCTAAGGTTAAAATTAATTTCATACACTTCTCTCGAAAAGATGGGTACTACATACTTTAATTATTTCCCCCAATTTTTCGATAAATGAATTAATTGAAAATTAAATCTAAAAAATTCCCACTCCAGTAGAAACAGTCGGTGCTGTCCCAGCAGAAAATACTCCACTTGTAGTAGCTGAAGGAGGACCATAACCTGGAGGCTGTTGTTGTCTATAATAATCTCTATACCAATCAGGTACTTGCATTCTTTCTGTCGATTTTCGAAAACGTAATTCGTGTTCGCCAAGTAATCCTTTTTGTAAATCATTTTCGGGGATTGTTGGTTCTTCTCTTGGACTGAAATTGTCAAAACTTGAATTCTATTTTTTCTTGCAGATATCCTAGACTCTCTAAGATATTCAGGAATAAGAATAATGGATATATATAGCGATGTAACTCCAATGTGTGGGGGATAACTGGGAGTTGGGGGATAACTGGGAGTTAGGGGATAACTGGGAGTTGGCTTAATCTCTATCTTATCCCAATCTTCCAGATATCCCTAACCCAAAGGGGGGCTTAAGGCAGTGAAATTGGTTCTGATAAGACAACTTAAAGAAGTGGAGGTGATAAAAATATATCAAATCTCACCGTCTCGGATCCATCAAATAATCGGCAGATTTGCTTCGTGTATGTGTTGATTCTTGTTCGGTATATTCCCTTCGGCTTAGACGCTCTCGAGAGGTAGGACTGTAGGAGTCTAATACAGACTTTGAACGATGAAAATCCTCCTTTTTAAAATTTTTAGGTTAAAAAGTAATTAAGTTAAAAAGAAAAGAGAGGAGGGGGGTGGTTTTTGGAGAGAATTTAATGGAGAAGAGAAGGGGGGAATAGAAAAATAGAGTAGAGAGAAGATTTCGTTAATTAAGACCTTGAGAAAATTAGGAAGAGATAAAAGGAAGGTTGAAAATAGTCGTAAAGTAAAAATAACCTCTGGCGCAAATCCTTCATTTAATTCAGTAATATCTAAACCCGTGTGACTCCAATATGAAGGAGGCTTTTTAAGTCGATAATAATGTGCCAGAGAACGACGAGCTTTCTCCAACAAACGTTGAAATTCCTGAGAGAATGAGCTATGAAGAATGATACAAGCTAATTAGGAGGAGGAAGAGGGGGCGGAAGAAGAATGAAGAAAAAAATAAAAGATAGGCAAAAAAGGCTAAAGAAAGTCTCTTATAGAGAGAGTCCTTCGTCCACTACATAGAGGAGAGGCAGGCAAAGTCGCTTATAGTGAGGGTCACTAAACAGAAGTGCAATAGTAAAAGATGTTGTTAAATAGAAAAATAAAAGAGAATTTTAAGAAAAAAAACGTGAAAAAATAATCGAGATAGTCGGTTCTAGACTAGAATTAAACCAGTTAAAAGGTGCTAGTAAACAAAAAAATGATAGAAACAACAAAAAATTAAAACTAAAAATAAATTTACAACAACCGCCCCCTCTCCCCTCCAAACAAAAATTTATCAGAAAAATACCTGCTCATAAGGACTTCGACCCAAACCACTTGCAAGTCCAATAGTTGGTTCAGGAGGATGGGAAAACTCTCCGCTGTTGAAACGTTGAAGTAAAGGACCTCGATATTCTGAAGGGGGTCGACGGCCATAAAGTAAATCTTCAGTAGATTTTCGATAACGGTCTAGCAATGGGTCTTTAAATGGAAAAAATTTTTTTTCTGAGAGAAAATTTTTTTCTTCTCTCACCATAACTTGAAGGAGGATATTCACTTGGTGTCCCAGTGATAAATTCTTTCCTCGCCCTTTCCATTCTTTGCCTATATTTACTCGTTCTACTAGATGCCCCACGTCTTAGCCAATCTTGTTCATCTGCTCTAGATTGATATAAACGAGAAGGCTCCCTTCCTCCACCACCCGTATATTCTTCCCCCTCTGTAGGAGGAAGTTGTTGGCCACCCAAATCTCCCCCATAAAGAGGTGGAGGCATTCCATTGCTGCCTGGACCGCCATAATAGAGAGGGGTTAGTCCATTATGGGAAGCTGGACGTGTATCTGTCGTGTCTGTCCAAAGAGTTCGATCAACACGTTCAATGACTTGGCGTTCAACCTTTTTAGGAAGGAAATTTTGAAAAATTATTTTGGCGCCTAAAGTACCTTAGTAGTCAAATCAGGATAATCAGCCAAATTTTCACGTGAATAGTAAGGTTTACGTGTCAATCTCTCCAAAGTTTCTTTGGATGTTAGTCCCTGTCGTTTACGTTCTTGTATTTCATGTTCCTCCTATTTAAGAAAAATTTTTAGGGGGGTCAGAAAATTTTTTCAGGGGGTAGAAAATTTTTTTAGGGCTTGATTATGGGAGGTTCTTATAGGGGGAGATAATGAAACCCCTTAGAGTACCAATAATCGTCTCCTCTCCGCTTCCCAAGCAGCCTTCTCATCTCTCTCACGTGCAAGTTGTTCAAGCATCTCCCGGCTACGCCAACCTTCTCTTTGTCTTCTCTCTTCGCGCTCTTGAGCTTCTCGTCTTTCCCTCTCTCGTTCAGCCGCCATTCTCTGTTCTTGATCTCGTAATTCTGCAAGTCTTAATTCTTCTGCTGCTCTTTCACGTTCCCTCTTTTCTTGTTCTAATCTCTCAAACTCTTTCAATTCTTCTGCGCGTCGTTCAATTTCTAAGCGTTCACGTTGTTGATGCTCCTCTAGTGCTCGATGTGCTCGCCGTTCAGCTGCCTGAGCTTCTAGTTGTGCTAGCCGATCGCGTTCTTGTTGCTCTAAAAATTATTATTTTTTACTTTCCGGAAGAAGCTTATTTTCCGGAATTCTCTAACACATACCCTGCATTTGCCTTTCTCTTTCACGCTGTTGAGCCTCTACACGTTCCCGTTGTCTCCGCTCTTGTTCAAGTCGTTCCTCCTCTTGGCGTTGGCGTTCTCTATCTCTCTCTTCTCGACGTTCTTGGTCTCTACGTTCGCGAGCAAGTATAGCGGCTTAAAAAATTTTTTTAAACTCTTTAAACCCAAAAATCAACTCAAAAATACCTTCAATCATTTCCCTTTCTCTCCTTTCCTGTTCCAATCGTTCCCTCTCCCTTTTTTCAGCTTCCATTTGTTCTTGTTCAATTCGTTCCTTTTCCTTCCTCAACATTTCCAGTCTTTCCTGTTCAGCACGTTCCCTAGCCCTTCGAGCAATTTCCCTTTCCATAGCCTCCCTCTCAGCACGTTCTAGCCGTTCACGTGCCAATCTTTCCTCTTCCCTTCTTTGAGCTTCTTTTTGTGCTTCCCTTTCCCGTTCTCTTTGCCTTTCAGCTTCTTCACGTTGTTCACGTTCATATAATTCCCTAGCTTGTCTTTCCAATTCTAAACGTTCACGTTCAGCTTTTTCCAACTCTTCTCGTACTTTTTGTAATCTGGCAGCTTCTTGTCTTTGCCGCTCTTTTTCTCTTTCATCCTGTTCACGTTTTTCACGTTTTATTCGTTCTATACGTTCAATCTATAATTGAATTTTTTAAAATTTTCCAGTGAGTTCCGGAAATTTATTCGGCGCTGGTCTAGTTTATGCGTCCAATCAACAAAAAATTGGATTTCTCATGGTGTTACAAAGTTGGGGTATGGTTCCAAAGCATTTCTTCATGTTCGTGACCTCCTCGAAATTTCTGAAAGTTATAGCCCATTTTTAAAAATTTCAGAAAAACGATTACTTTCCTAAATTTCAAGGTATAGGTTAAGGAACGGTCCCAGACCCAGTGGGCGTAGGTCCCGAACATGGAAAAATATTTTGGAACCATAATTGTTATGTATCGACTTGCGGTGTGTCAACTTTGCAATACTAAGAAAAATTCAATTATTTTTGATAGACTCATAGTAAAGTTTCATTGGACGCATAAACTAGACCAGGCCATTTATTCACCTCAAGCCGTTCAATTTCCAATCGTTCCCTTTCTATCCTTTCTTGTTCCAATCTTTGTTTTTCAATTCTTTCCAATTCTTGTTTCTGCCTTTCCAATCTTTCGCGTTCCAAACGTTCAGCTTCTAAACGTTCCCTTTCGAGCCGTTCACGTTCTATTCGTTCCAATTCCCGTCGTTTCTCCAATTCGGCTTCTTCATAAGCTCGCCGCTCGCGTTCAATACGATCCCATTCCTAATTTTTTAATTAAATGTGAAAAAAAATTAAGAAAAAATAGGCTCGCTCATGTTTGGCTTTTCACATAGTAGAAGGTATAAAACTGTTTTTTTCAGAACAAATTTAACTGAACGATAAATAGGTAAAATAAAAAAATACTTTATTTATCAAATAAATTTTATTCTATCAAATACAGTCAGACAATTAACTAAAAAATATTTTTGGTTGGTCAATAGAAGGTAGAGGGAAGGTACCTACCTCCACCTTCTATTGAAGAATTTTATTACCCCTTATTGTAAGATAAAAATTTTCAGTTCCATGTGAGATCCGACTGTAATAATAAATTTAATAATCTAATAACTAAATTTTTGAAAACTTAAAAATCACATCAAAACTAATCTAAGAAAGCAACACTCCAAAAAAAAGAGTAAAAAAGCAAAACAAGCTCGATCGAAAAACAAAACATGCGCGGCCTTTTAATTAAACAATACTACGTTAAAAATACTTTTTAGTTAGTTAGTAGGGTTCCCCTCCGAATATTTTTATCTTAAAGATGTGAAAATGGTCGGAGCCGGAGCCACAAGATACCCAATACCCAGCACTGACCAAAAACCTTCATTTGACAGTAGAGATCGAGCTGGATCTAGACCAGGGCTTGGATTTTTCCTGTACCCAGAGTCCAGGTCTAGGCATTTTTTGATCTTCCTGGGGTTTTCTTGGACCTGGGTTTTCCTGGACTACAGCCCAGGATCCAGTCCAGGTCAAGAAATCAAACTCCATAGTCCATGAACAGGTCCAGGCTTTTCAAAAATCTCGATCTCTATTTGACTGGTATGGTAAGGGCAGGAAGGGACCCTACTTGTTCTCTATACAGAATTTTTAATCAAAAAAATTTTATTTTCTCCCCAATTTTCAAAGAATATCCAGCAAGAAATAACGATTATTCTCCTCCTCATTCACAGCCTCAAAGGCTTCCTCATCAACAATCTCCTCCTCCTCATTCCAATACCAAAAATTCCCAAAAGGTATTATTTCCACCTCTCTACGTCGACGTTCAGCAGCTTCCCTTTCCAACCGATCCTGATGTATTCTGTCACGTTCAGCACGTTCCCTGTCGAGCATTTGGGCTTCCAATGTTTTCCCCAATTGTTCTCTCTCTCTCCGCAATTTTTCGACCAATTCTTGTTCCTGTTGTTCAAGACGGCGGCGTTGTTCTTCTACTCGAAGGCGACGTTCTTCTTCTGCTCGGCGACGATGTTCCTTTAAAAAAAATTTTTTTTAAAAAATCCTTAAGATACCAAAAGACCTGTTCAGAGCGTAATCGGCGTTCTTCTTCTTCAATGTTGCGAGAATACCGAACCCTGGATAATTAAATAATTATTTACATTAATTAATAGAAGGTTCTTCTATTTTCCGTTATAATCCCTTAGAAATTAAAAAAATAAAAGGCGCACCAATATTCCTCAGAAAGTTGATCTCTAGGAGGCAGATCAACATTTAAGGGCCGTGTAGGAGGCAGTGTTGGTGCAACTGGTGGTGAACGACTTAGAGGCGGAGGTGCACTCAAAGCTTCTGTAGAGCGTGTGACCAATGTTCGAGTTAATACCTAGAGGGAATTAAAAAATATTTTTAGATAAAAAAGATTTCTATTTGTGAAAAATTTTTAAAAATTTTTTGAAATTTTTTGGATTTTTTTTTTGAAAATTTTAGCTTCCAAAATTCATAAAAATATCTATTTCCTATAGTCACACCTCTCTTCTATAATATTCATTGTGAGTAGGTGGAGGTGCTGCAGCTTGTATCGGTCTAGCACTACTCCCCATAATTCCCCCAATAGAAGGTGCAAAAGCAGAAGCCGATCTTTGAATTGGAATTTCTCTAATATTCGTTGTCTGTCTTCCAGCTCTTTGATCAGTGCTAGCAGGTCCACCACTTGCAGACATGAAATCAGAACGAGAGCTGGATTCAAAAGAATGATCAAAGGCACCAACAGAAGCAAAGGCTGTTGGGACTGGACTTGGCTAGAAAAATGAAGGAAAATAAAATAAAATATTTTTTGGTGTATTTAAATTTAAAAAACGCGAAAATTAAAGGAATTATAAGAATTTAGGGAATTTTTTAATTTAAAATTTTATTTAAATAATTCTACAGTATACTCTCTCTTTAATTCCCCTCAACAGAAGAAAGTGAGCAATAAAAATTTTTAGAATTATGTGTGTTCTAAAGCCTCAGCAAAGAAGAGAATGATTAACGTCGATAGGCTTAGATATAAAGCTTAATTATGTGCGTATAACGAACTCTCTCTACAGTGGACTCATTCGAAGGTCGAACAGCTTCTTCGAAAGCCTTCTCTCCTAAAATTCCCTTGTAAAAGAACTAAGGATCTCAAGGTCTCATTTTGCATTCACTCCATACGTCAGTCGACTGTTTTTAGATAATATCTAGGTGTTAAAAAGTTCTCCAAACTTTTAATAAAAAAATTTTCTTGATTTTTAATGATTCAAAGAAAAAAAGAGACGAAAGAAAAAATTCGTACAGCTGCTTTAACTATACAAACATACAAATTATGAGTGGCCAAGAATGTGATGAAGCTGCTAAAGCAACTTTAAAGGGGAAGGGGGCTGTCACGATTGCGCAAACATTTAAAAAAAGAATAAGAAAAAATAAAAAGAGTAAAATGCGTGATGGATAGATGGAAGGAAATTTCTTTACATTTTTTGTTGTTTGCAGAAATATTTTTATATTTTTATTTTAAAAAAAAATTGTTTGAAGATAAAAGGGGAAGAAAATATTTAGTAATTGTATGAGGATGAAGAAAAAATTTTTTTGAAAGAAAAGGAGGGAGGAAGTAAAAACGAGGAGGAAATGATTCAAGGTTTAAAGAAGATTCCCTAAGCCCGAGAAATGAGGACTGGATTTAAATACAGTATTTGCTCTAATAGAATGCCCCCCTCCATTAGAATGACTCCCTCCATTAGAATGCCCGTTTGGAGGATGATTGAAAAATATAATGCCCGGGCATTCTATTAGGGAAATACGGTAGATGTGGTTAGTGGAAGGATCTATTAGAGCTTATATCATCCCACATTGACTGGCCCTGTAGAAAAATTCTGATCAAAAAATTTTCTCCCAATAGATTAAAAAATCATATGAATTGAATTACCTTAGAAATCCTAATAGAAGCTACCTAATCTCCAATAGAAGACGTGATCTATTGAAAAATAAATGACCAGGCCTTCATTGGGATAGTTACAGTATATATTTTAATCTAAATAATTATTAATTAAGCTCTCATTGTTAGCTTAGTTAGAAAAAAAGGTTGACAAAAAAAAGGTCAATGGGATTGTTTTAGAAAACAAATTTATTGAAAATAAAAAATAAAAATATACATATTTAAGGGCATTCAATATTTTAATAATTATTATTGCTTTAGCTTTACTCTCTCTTTATTTTTATTTGTGTCAACTATTCAAATCCGGCTTTGTAATGACCGGCTTTTCATTCAATGAGCGGCTTTCGCTCACTACTATAATAAAAGAGAGAGAGAGGATTGTAGGAAAGGAAAGGTGGGGGGCTTGGAGAAGTATATTATTATAAAAATAATAAGCAAATGTACAAAACAAAAATAATATTTAAATAAATTAATAATATACTAGTTGGTTTCAAGGGGGGAGGGAAGGGGGGGGGAGAAAAGAAGGGAGGATAATGATGAAAATGATTTTTTGATAGATTTTGTTTAAATAAAAGAAGGAGGAAGTAAAAATGAGGATCTCGATCCCCTATGATTGAGAAAAAGAGGGTTGAAAAAGTAGAGAACCAATATAACACGGCATATGGCCATATAGGTTCGGTATATCGTTTATACCGTCACTTAAAGGTTCTTTCAATATGTTGGGATTATAACTAGGGTCAACAGAAATTTCAAAAAATATTCTTGGAGCAGATGCTGTGATAGATAGTGAGTCACTAAAGGTCCTTCCAGTAGATTGGGGTTACACCTAGAGTCAACTGAAATTTCTAAAAAAAATTTAGGAAGGGAGAAGTGATAGATCGTGGGGTATCTTTAATAGATATTTAGAGAAAATGTTGAACTTAATCAAAAAATAAATAATGCAACAAAATCAAAACAATTTCGACCTCATTATTTATTTTAAAAACTTTTCGGCTGTAATCAATGAGAATAAAATGGAATGCGCGCAAAGCGCACCAGCTGTGAGAAATGGGAAAATGAGGAAAGGACAAATAAATATACTCATTATTCTTATTGTTATGTGAAAAGGTAGAAGCTGAGGAAGGAGGGGGATTTTTGCGCTAGCTACCTAAAGCTTTAAATATCTAAAGAAACGGAAAGCCTATACCTGGTGCTTTTTGTTATTTTTCTCTTTTATTTACTGAAAAATATTTTAAAAGTAGAAGCAGAAATAAGAGGGAAATTTTCAGGATTTAAAAAGGCCTATGAAATGATATGAGTTTTACCCCTTGCGCAATTAATTTTAGCTTTGTTTCCAAAAATAACTTCATTCTAGAGACAGCGAGATCTCGATCGAAAATCTTGGTTATCGAGATCGAAAATTTTTTGAGATCTCGATCTCGACGCACTCCCAGTCCGGTCTCTACTTCATTCCCTGTCTGTTTCTATGTAGAAATATAGAAGATAGGACAGGGATCTTCTATCAATATAACAGAGATGCTGCAAGCCGATAAAAAACTGGAAGACGAAAGATGGAATTAGCGTAAGGAAATGTGAAAAATGGAAGAAAGGAAGAAAGGAAGACGTCTTGGACGTAGTCTAGAAATGCAATTTTCTTAGACTCGTAAAATTATAGTACAAGCTTCGAAACGCTGGTCTAAGATGGTTGATTCTTAAATCCTCCTCCCTCTTCAACTTGTCAGATTAAATCTAAAAGATATTCCAAAGTAAAAGGAGGAAAGAAAGGTATATCCTCCAAAGGTCCTACCTACTAGGTGCCATCTTCCAAAATGGGGAAAAAAGGGAGAAGAAAGGGTTTATCCTCCAAAGGTCCTACCTACCCAAATCCCCAACTGTCCTACCTACCATTTTCCAAAATTTTTCCCAAAAATAAATTTGGGAAAAATAAATAAAATTTATGAACGATCTATCTCTCTTCAAAAATTTATGAGATTGTTTTGGATCTGTCATTTCCTCTCAAAAGCGACAGCTCCTTTTCTCTCCCTCTCTTAAATGAGTGCTCCTTTTCTTTTATTCAAATTGGAATGAAAAGAGATTAAATTGAAGGATATTTTCAATACAAAAATTAGAAAAGAAAATTTTCAAATTATTAGGTCACTACATTTACTAACAACACACAAATACAAAAATTTTGACAAAAATTGAGAGAGGGAGATGCTTTTAGTGACAGTCATTTAATGTAAATATATTGATCGTTAAGTGCGGCTGTCATTAATAGAGAGATGGGGAATAAATTGAAAATATATTTATTTATTGTATTTTGAATGAAAAGGGAGAATGGAAAATCTATGTCATTGCATTGAATTGTGAAAAATAATTTTCAATTGAAATTTGTTAAAATTTGAAAAAAAGTGGGAGGGGGAGGGGGAGGGAAGATTGAATAGGGGAAAGAAAAAAATTAAAAATCAAGAAGAGAATTGGTCAAAAATAAATTTAATTTTAGCTTTGAAAAGTTCAAATATGGAACTACGGAACTTGAAAAAAAAGTGGAACTTCCAATTACTAAGGCTGATCAAAGACGTTTGATCTATAGAAGCTCGACTCGAGATACTTTTTTAACCCCCCCCCCATTTATTACTAGAGACTAGAATGTGAATTTTGTAGAGAAATCGTGATCAGTATCTCAAAAAATATCGTCTCAATAACCAAGATTTTTGTTCGATATCTTGTCTCAGTCTGATCTCAATTCCGTTAACTACTTAAGCAAAATAATCTAAAGAAGTTAAGTGGGGATGTTAAAAAATTTAGTGAATTTCAATAAAAAGTAAGTGAGATAATTGCAAAAAGGAATTTTAAATCTCTGGAATTGAAAGTCCTATAAGCAGTGCTTCGAAATTTCAAATTTGCTCGTACTCGTACTTCGTACCACCTCTTTTTTTGGCCTCGTACTCGTACTCGTACCTCGTACCACCCCCATTTTTTTGCTCGTACTCGTACTCGTACCTCGTACCACCCCTATTTTTGGCCTCGTACCTCGTACTCGTACCTCGTACTTACTCGTACTTGAGGTAAAAGCAAAAAATCGAAAATTTTAATGATTTTTTTTGAGCCCAGGGCATCTAGTTTTAAATTTTAAGCGTTGTATGTGATAATTTTTGAATCTTGGAAGGCCTTGAAGTTATAAATCCTCCAATTTCATCTATTTGCTGCGCCGCAGGCGAAATTTTTGAGCATTTTAGAGTGTAAGGAGAAATATTTCCTCCAAGATGTGTCGTGCTACCCGAGATCCTACATTTTTTCATCCGGTTTTCATCTTCTTACATGGAACTTTTTATCTTTTCCACTGAACTTTTCACATTTTAATCTCCTTATATCCCTCTTAATCTCAAATCCTTTTTTTCAAAAATTTTGAGAATTTTGGATGTCCTTAAGTCAGATTTCTTCTATTTTTGCGCCGCAGGCGAAAATTTTGAAAAATTTTGAAGGCCATGAAGCCAGATTTCTTTCATTTTTCACCGCCGAAGGCGAAAATTTTAGAATTTGGAAGCCAATAAGCCACCTTTCTTATTTTTTCAGCGCCGCAGGCGAAAATTTTGAGCTTTTCCGAAGGCGAAAAAATTCACTTTTAGTGTTCAAAGAAAAATTTTCTTAAGAATATTTTAAATGGTCAAATCTCATAATTAATCCAAGTAAAAATACAACAATTTAAAAAAAAATTAAAATTATAAATAAGTTATTTATGAAGAGAAAAAGATTAAAAATCCTTGTCCAGTGAATAGGAAACGAACCCAATATTAAATCATTATAGACTTTGGTGCAGCCAAACACCTTCACCACTCGGCTACTCGCTCATATAAGGACTATTGAATAAAATTAAACATATTTTTTCAATTTTCCTATTAACACCAAGTACGAGAAGTACGAGCTCGTACTTAGGCCTCGTACTCGTACTTTTCACTTTTTTTTGGCCTCGTACTCGTACTCGTACTTCGTACCAGGTACGAGTACGAGTACGAGGTACGAGTACGAATTTTGGTACGAGCTTCGAAGCACTGCCTATAAGTAAGCAAATATTTTGTATATCAAGCTTCACGGCTTACTCAAATTTCGAATTTTTGGTCCTAAGAAATATTTATTAAAGAAGAAAATAAAAATGATTTTAGAGGGTCCGAAAATAAGAGAAAATGAGAGAGAGAAATAAAAATTTGAGGAATTTAGTAAAATAAATAGAGAAGGTATTTTAAGTTATAAAGTAAACAATATTTTGTTAAAAATGTTTGTTGTACTTTTAAATTTTATAAAATGAAGAAAAAAATATTTTGAAACTAAAGAAGTATTTGTACACCTCCCCAAACTTGCTCCAAGTTTAGAAAAGTCAAATTTCTCCTCGATTTTTGGTATGATTAACATTTTCCGATGGGCTATACCGAGTGGTATCAAAATCGACAAGAGAGAGATAAGCCTTTATTTTTTAACTGAGGTAGTTTGGCCTACTCCCTCCCAAATATAAGTGCTCGGATTCCTCTCCAGTTAAAAATCACCAATCTCTAAATCTCGCTCAAATTACCAAAAAGAGGGCAGGTCTTCGAAAATTTCTTGGGTCGGGGCTTGGGCCGAAAAAATACGGCTTCGAACTCGACCCATCCCTGTTACCATATACACTATATCCATTTCAACAAAGACCCCTATTAATGGTCCCCCTCTAATTTTAAACAGAAAGTCTAGCAACAACGCTTATATTACCATCTATCATATATCCAAGAGGTTGGTGTTACCAAAGTTTCCCGTTTCCTTATCTCAACTTATAAAAAATATATGACAAAAATTTTAAAAATTGCAGAAAAGTGGTCTAAAAAAGATGATTAAAAAAAGATTGTGGAGACAAACTGTCACTAGTAGGGGCGAAATAAAGGCAAAAAGCAATATATATTTATAGAAATGACTGTACTAAAGGAAAAAAACTAAAAAAAAACTAGCGTTGATTAAACGATGGAAAAAATTTTTTTGAGAGAAAAAAAATGAAAATGAATCAAAGAAAAGGAATTTTTAATAGTAAAAATTAGGGGGGAATGGATGGGGTAGAGATGTGTGGAAAATAAATCCGTATATATTTAATTAAAAATATTAGAAATAAAAAATTAATTAAAAATTTTTGGAGATATGTAGCTAAGATCATGTTTTTAATCACAGAAGGTTGAACAGTTAAAAATGTGAGGGGTCTGAGGATAAATGAACTAGAAATAGTAAGGTATCTCGAAGTAAAAGACACCCCAATTTAACCTATTATATTATAGTAATTCAGGTTTTCTGATAGAGAGTGGTGGGTCTTTATGGGGGTTGTCCTGACTAGATACCAGACTGAGACGGATCTTGAACAAAAATATTGGTTACCGAGATCGAGATTTTAATACGACCTCCCAGTTAGGTTTTGATAATGGGGGCAGTCTTAAAAGTGGTTGGAAGCTCGAACCAAAATTCGTACACGTACTTGTGTACGAGGTAATAAAGGCCTATACGAAAGTAAGTGCACGAGTACGAGCAAATTTCAAAATTCCAATCACTGGTCTTGAACAAGTAAAAGAGTTGAAAAAATAAATAATACTTGAGGTTTGATTAAAGAGATTTGGAAATTAAATATGATGACTTAAATTAAATTGAAAATTAACAAGAACTCAAAAATAGTTTGATCAAAGAAAACAAGGTTTGAGAAAAAAAATAAAATGATGGGGGGAATACTAAGGAGGAAATTAACCGGAAAATGTAAAATAAATAAATTGGAAAAATGATGGGTAGAAAACAACATAGGTAAAAATATAAAAAAAGGGGATGTGATTCAACAACGCAACGAATTTTACATTTAGAAAAAAATTGTGTAAAATGAGGGAAACATTAAAAAATATACTTAAAAGGAAACGATTTTAATGATAAAAATGTTTAAAAAAATAAATTGGTAATTTAATGATAAAAAAGAGTAGAAAAAATGTTTAGTTGTTTAGGTAATCGAAAAATAAAAATAATAATAAAAATTTGTTAGATTTTTATGAGGAGATAAAAAAATAGGAGAGATTAGGAGGGGTGGAGGGGACCACGAGGAAAAGAACTCTTAGGGAACTTGTGAAAAGAGGAGTATATCCCCAGTAAATTCGGATAATCTGAGGATAAAGATAACAAGCCAATTTGGATGGGGAGATAAAAAAGAGGGAGAGACGAGAGAGGTAAGGAGACAGGGGGTGAGCGCAAAAGACAATCTCAAAAAACGCAAGACGCAAAATGCAACGCTAAAATTTAGCGCAAATAACGCAAAACGCAATGCGCCCACCCCTGGAATGAGGAAAGGAACTCTCTTCGGGAACTTTTAACTATAAGAGACTACATCCCCTGAAAATCCGGATAATCTCAGGATAAAAATAACAAGCCAATTTAGATGGGGTTGATAAACTACGTGGAGAATATGGGAAGACTAGGAAATTAAAATAGGGGTGGGAACTGTTAAATAAGAGGAGAAAACGATGGGGAACATTTAATTAATAAAAATATCTTGTATATCCCCATATATCCGGATAATCTGAAGAAAAGGATAACTGGCCACGATAGCCAATATCTCCTAAAACAGAATAAGAATAATAAAAGAAGTGTCAGAAAATCTTGTTTAGTGTTAATTAAAAGTAAAATTGAAGGGTAGAATATAGCAGCAGAAAAATAAAGGATATTACCCTAAAAATAAATATTTTAAAGGCTTTATGACGCCCAAAACAATTTTTATATTTTTATTATTTAAAAGAACACGGATCTGAACAACAATTTAAAAATAAATTATATTTTACTAGCTTGTAATTGAACCGGTTTAGAAATTTTCTTAATCGCCGCATAGTATCTCTTTTCCTTGGAATCTTCCCCAGCAGCCTTCTCCTATAAATCATCCCCAAAAATTATTTTTAAAAATGTTCTAACAATGTACTTATCCCCTCTATTAATTGTTTTGATGAGAAAGAATGAAAAAGAATCAAAACAATTAAGCAGAACAAGGTTTTTATTGGGCTTAAAATGATTATGGAGGAAAGTTGTTCCGTGTTTAACACCGAAAAAATAAGAACAAGATTTTTAGAAAATAAATAAAAATAATTAAATAGATAAAGCTAGAATTCTTTTAGCAAAAAAATTAAATTTTAAAAAGCGTCTCAGTTCTCCAAGGTGAACATGCTAGATTGTGTAACTTCATTTTTCAACTAAATAAGAAGCTAATACAATCATCATTGACGCTTAATGATTAAAATAAACTTGCAAAAGATACGAACTTTAGATGTAAAACTAAAGAATGTTCAGCCTTAACCCACTACACCACTTAAGCATACAACACAAACTTTTATAAAACTAATTTAAAAGGCTAAAAAAGCCTTACGAATTTAGGGGGGGGGAATAATTTAATAAAATATTGAATTTAAAAAATAATTATTGCATAATCTTGGATAAATTTTACTCCCTTATTAATTTTATGATAATATTTTACCAGATTTACTCATTATCATATTTTTTAAAATAGTATTATTATATAGGTAATATTATTATACCTCTATATTATAAACCCCTTCACAAATGTTGTATCTAAACTAGGGTTGGGGGTTTCGAGTCGGGCCGACATTCGGATTATTTTTCGGACCTTATTTTTATTAGGCCAGCCCGGCCGAGTCTTTTCGGGCCAAAATTCAATGCCCGACTCGATCTTTCGGACCGGGCCGGATCTGGCCTTCAACCCTAATCTAAACGGTTGTTCATTCTCATAAGAAGGGATGGGGAGAAAGGGAGGGGGAGAGGGGGAGGGATGGGGAGAGTATATTTACAAACAAGTCATACTGTAATTAAAATAAAAGTTCTCCCCTACCTTAGCAGAAGATCCCCCATATAGAGAAGGTGGTTGTTGTAGTGGAGGTAAAGAATAGAGAGGAGGTAGAGGAGGCAAATCTGACGAAGACATTGACTCTAAAATAAAATTTTTAAAAATTTTTAAAGTAAAATAAACGCTAAAATGACAAATATCTTTTAAAAAGAATCAATGTAGCGCCGATAAAATGACAGAAAGCCGTAAAAAGTATATAGGGTTTTGCGCAGAATTTAAGGTAATAAAAGTAAAAAGAAGAAATGAAGGACGACGATATTTTAAATTTTAGTAGAAAAGACCTTGGAATATTTAAAGAAAATGTTTTTGGTTATTTTTAAAGAAAAATACCAGCTGGCTGAAATTTTTTATTTTTGATTTTAAAAATTCCTAAATTAATTAAAGAATGCAAACCAGCGCAGTGATATGAGGGATTGAACTTTTGGTCAAGTGGATGAGATAACTGACTAAAAATCCCCCTAAACCCTAGGTCATGGGTTCAAGCCTTCTCGTTGTTAAATTTTTTAAAATTAATTTTAGAATGATGAAAATGTTTTTTAAAATTGTATTAAAAATGACAGCAGGATTCAAAAATCAAAAAATATATTTTCCCTAATTTTTAAAAAACATTAAAAAATATTCTCACGTTGAAATCCCCCAAAACCACTTCTCTGGGGCCATAAACTATCATAAAAAGGTGAATGGAACCAATCATTACTTGCCGAGAAAGGCTTGTAGCTATCTGGATGTATTTTAATTGGAATATTTCTTTCCCCATTGGCTATTGGCCTTCTTTTGTCTTCTTGAGTGCTTCTAGAAGATGGACGTTCCTTTAAGGCTATTGGATGAATAGTCCAGGCTCTATCTTCTTCCTTCTGCCTTTCTTCCATCTTAAAATAATTTTTGAAAATTTTTAAAAATTTAAAATTAAGCACAGGTAAAAATAAAGTTTTGTGTAACAGTCGGTTCCACGCTTATAAAATGGCCATTTAGGTAGCTAAAATTACCAAATTTTGCATAGATATAGTCAATAGTGTTAGCTAACTACTCTATAAATTTTAGAATTTTTGGGTTTGAAATTCTAGAGTTATGGCCTGAAAACCGAACTTGAACTGAATGTTTGAATTTTTGACACATTCTCGGTTATAAGTACCCAAATACGTAACCATAAATTATGAAATTTTCAATAAAGGTAGTTGACAATATTTTGGATAAATATGCAAAATTTCAAGTTTCTAGCTTCCAAATAAAATATTTTATAAAAATTTTTCTAACACTCCTCCCTTACTTTTTTCCGTTCAGATTCAATCCATCTATAAGAAGGCGGAGGCACATAATTATTAATAAGTCCATTTTCTTTCCCCTCTCCTTCAACTGCAGCCCCTTCTTGACGTTTTCTACGTTCAATAGATTCTTTTTCAGTTTCAAAATTTTTCGGCAAAGTTGCTCCATAACCATGCAAATAACTCGTTAATCTTTCATTTCTCCCCCACAAAGGCAATACTGATTCAGGTGAGGAAACTGGAGGAAGTGTTGGTAATGGAGGGGGAGGAGGAGGTTCTTCTTGTCTTAATGAGACGGGGAAAGAAGATCCATTCAAAGGAAGATTTGTAGTAGTTAATTTAGTAATTAGGCCATTAGAAGTAGTAGTGGATGAAGGTGGGGGAGGTAAAGGCATGGACTCTTCTTCTTCCTCCACGTAAGCTTTTTGGATATATGCTGGGGATGAGGAAGATGTTGATGAGGCTCTAGAAAAGAAAATTTGCTTTAAATTTATTTTGATAAATCTTAGAACGGGGGAAGTTCTCAAACTTCTAGTGAGAGATCGGTGACGTGGGTTCGTGTGTAGCTTTATAAAATAGCTAAATGAGAATTAAATGAGAATTCAGATCAATTTCAGATCTAAATGATAATTCAGATCAAATAACTTTGGCAAAAATTTATTAGATCAGGTTAGCTATCAAGTCTAAGAATTTCAGAATTTTTGAGGGAAAAATGGCAAAAATTATTAAAGAAAATATTAATTTATTCAAGAAAAATAACGATTTTACTTGGGTTTTGACCACAACTTGAAGAATACGAAACAAAAAATTCTGAAATTTTTAGAGAAGATAGTAAATGCTATCAAAAATAACCAGAGAAAATTTCATATCCATGATTTAATAGGTCCATGATTTAATGATAATTTCTAAGCTAGCGCCCAGATAGACCTGCGCCCATACGACCATTGAGAAATAAATTCAAAATCAGAATTAAATCAGATCAGAAATTTTTAAAAAAATTTAAAATTTACTTTTCTGATTGTTTCTTAGACATTATATCACCAATTCCAGTAGTTAACATCCCATTAGCACCATTTCGTTGAGTTGAATCAAAATCTCTCTCAATAATATTTTTAGTACCACCGTTAGTTAACCCAACTAAAGTGGATGAAGACAATATTGGAGAAGGTAAAGAATTGAAAAATTCTTGAGAAATATTTTCAGTTTCTTTTGTGGGAATTGAACAAATTGAATGATCAAGTGATTCACGGCTTCGGTCAAGGTTAATTGACATTGATGGAGATGAAAGGCGGCCATCCTCCCTTTAAAATGAGAGATTGGAAAAAAGATTAAATTAAACGATAAAGGGTTGGACCCCGAGAGCAGTGCTTCGAAATTTCAAATTTGCTCGTACTCGTACTCGTACTTCGTACCACCTCTTTTTTTGGCCTCGTACTCGTACTCGTACCTCGTACCACCCTTATTTTTTTGCTCGTACTCGTACTCGTACCTCGTACCAACCCTATTTTAGGCCTCGTACCTCGTACTTACTCGTACTTGAGAATAAATCAAAAAATCTAAAATTTTTATGATTTTTTTGAGTTCAGGACATCTAGTTTTCAATTTTAAGCGTTTGTGCGATAATTTTTGAATCTTGGAAGGCTTTGAAGCCATAAATCCTCCAATATAATTCATTCTCTGCGCCGCAGGCAAAATTTTTGAGCATTTTTAAGTGCAATGAGCAATATTTCCTCAAAGATGGGTCGGTTTCAAAGATGGATCGGGTATATTTTCATCCGTTTTTCATTCTCTTCCATGGAACGTTATACATTTTTTACACACTTTTTCTCCTGATATCCCTCTTAATCTTAATTCCCTTTCTGCGCCGCAGGCAAAAATTTTGAGAATTTTGGATGTTCTTAAGACAGATTTCTTCCATTTTTGCTCCGCAGCCGAAAATTTTCAGAAATTTTTAAGGCCATGCAGCCAGATTTCTTGCATATTTCTGCGCCGCAGGCGAAAATTTTGAAAATTTCGGAAGGCGTAGGCAAAAAAATTCACTTTTTAGTGTTCAAAGTAAAATATTTTAAGTTCAAAGTAAAATACCGTATTTATTCGGCTCCCTGTCCACTCCCCAAGTG